CTTACATTAAGCTATGGATGCTAAGTTAGAAAGTTTTAAAAAAGGTAATTTACTAGTGCATTTAAAAATTGACCTATCGAATGATACACTAGCAATTTATATTTCATTTATTTAGCAAAGTGTTAGTCTAACCAGTGTTCACTAAAGGATTTTACCATATCACCAGTGTTTGGTGCATAAGGCTGTAAATGTTATGGCAATAACCGGATATACTTGGTTAGCTTATACAAAACCCATATAACTTATGCACCCTTTTTAGTTATATAAGTTACAATTCATTACTAAGTAGATTTACAAAATGTAACATATTTCCGGCTAGTTCTATTGGCATTATTGTCTTTTACGCGATTTCAAAAGGGGTAATAAAAGCATGTGCTTAAGATCGTCTTAGACTAGTGTGCATTGTTTACTTTATTTGACTCATTTGTCGATTTTTACAACTAACTCGAGACTCAGTCTTAATATATTTATTTTAAGTACCAGTTTAACGATTTATTTGGAAATATTTTACAGGCCTCAAGCATTTTCCTTAAGTTAAATCTACTTTATTTTTAATAGATTATCATTATTTTAAGTTTATAAATCTAATTAGAATTTTTTCGTATACACCAGGTAATTATGCACAAAAATGTTTGTAAACTATTCAATGTATCAAGGTCTTTCAGATCTATTTTTGTTTGCATGCGATACGTCAAAGATCTTTGTGACAATGATGATCTCTTTATATTGTGGTAGTTTCTCTGCGATGTAGTCGATTCGAAATACAATAGATTAATTAGCAAAAAAATGAAGCTCTCAGTCAGCGCATTATTTGAAGATTTTCTCTAGTTTGAGATTTTTGCATACGCGCAAAACGTGCTAATAGCATCCTAAGAAATCATCTTAAGCTTACTGGAACACATTAGCACGCAATTATTATTCTAAAAGAAGACTAATAATACTGTAAAAATGGTTACACAATACTGTAGATTAGCTAAAGTTAGAAATCAGCACCGTTGGATACCAGTTCAGTGGTCACTCGCGCAAGACCAAATGTTTTGAGTCCAAGCCCCGCGTGCAGGGTTGTGGATGGGCACTGCCTAGAAATCTTGTATGGTGCTTCCAGGTTTTCAGTGATGGTCAAATATTGATCGGCTTATGATTGCAATTAAAACTCAGCGATCTCCACAAACCTATGCTGATAATAGTGAAAATGATTTACCTAGTTATTTTTCGGTATTTTGAACTTGATTTGGAACTAAATCATTGTCGTATGATTGTAAATAACTTTTAGCCTTCGGGAAAAGTATTAATCAATAGATCCCTCTAAAATTTAATGATGATTACGATATCAACCTAAGTTCTGTGTAAGATTGACACTGAATTTCAAAAATTATATTACCATTCTCTTAATAATGATAACTCAGTAATAACAACAAAACTATTTCTCTCTGTAGCTTTACATTCCTGAATCAGGGTTGAAATTGCTGAACCAGTGAGATTCTTGTTTAAAATCAGCTTAATTATTTTGAGCACAAATCACTGCTTCAAAATTCTGTATTATTGACAATGAGTAAAATGATTAAATTAATCGATAAATCCATTCATACTGTCTGCAATAACTAAAATATTTACGTTAATTCAATGAATTTTAAGGTCGAATAAAACAGTGTAACACAAAATTATTTTTCTCATTGTTATGCTAAGAAACAGACAACCAAAAGTAGACATACATATCATACATCAAATTTGGGCTGTCTTCTTCATATCAGCATGTTTATTTAAATGTGACTAAAATTAATAAAACACTATACTTCTAAAAATTTTAAATATTATGACCAGTTGTTTAATCATTCTGTTTCTTCACCAAGTTAGTACGAAATAAAATAAACATGAAACCTGATTAAGATCTGCGAGACGATAGCAACCGATGGTTAGAGACCCTGAATGATATATTTTAAAATCGTTTGCAATGGCGCAGGTGTATCCACTCTTTATGCTCTCCCAAATTCCAATCTTCTGAATTCTTCATGTCCCTCTCTTTTTCCTTTTTCCAAATTTATTTCACTGTATCATACTCTTTAAATAACATCTTCAAACCCTAATCTTCCCGATCAGTGCTTATACTTTTACTAGCCCTACCGCTGTGCTAATGTGGTATGGCAACTCGAACTGATGTACGTACGTACGAAGTTCTACGTTGTTACTGACTGGATTTCATATACACATCATTTTGAGAAAATATTGCTTCACTGTATACAGCAGCATTACCATATGAGGAGTTATCGATTTTCCGCGTCAATTTCACGCAATAACGCTTCGTATCAAACCCTTTTGTTGAATAGCAGAAGCAACTTTTGAGAAATAGCACATGATACATAAAAATCAAGCCATCTGATTAGATACAGAGCTCGGATTCTGGTTTCAGACTAAGAAAAGTTAATGGACGACCCCAAAATTTTGTTACAAAAGACAAACTGAATGTTTCGGGGTCGGTTTTCTGACTAGATATTGTTTCGTCGAAAACATTACCGATAATCTAAACTACCTGCTTTTGTATGCATGGCTAAACTGGGAAGTAGATAGTTGATATAAGTGACTCTTTATTGTGTATGATCAGTGGTGATAAATTGTTTGCGGTAAAGAAGCATACGAATGACGTGAATCGACCAATTGAGGTTATTTAGTTTATTCACAAGGTGTTACTTCAGAAACAACTAAATATTAGTACATCAAATGAGTGCTACGCTTAACGGTTCAAAAGACTTAATTCTGGGCCCCATGAGCCAGGTATCAGAAAGAATGTTGGAGTATGCATCTTTATATGAACAGAAGTCACTATTTCTTGAATTTTATCAGAGGTTTGAAGTTATCGAGAAAATGCACATAAATTACTGACCAAATCAAGTTATACATCAAGTAACATATTACTCATCCCCTTCTATTCAATATTAATGCTTGCAATTTAAGCACACTCGACGTAAGCTCTTCGTCACATACTTCATAACCTTGGACAACCGTTCGTGAATAAACCTTTAAAAATGTACTTATTGTTTAGTTTAAGGGATCAAAAGAACTATAAGGTCACATGGAGACAGTCTAGAATGCTGAGGTAGTAGGTAGGGAAATTATGCTGAGATCGATTCCAAAAAACACTATCTTTCTCCGTTCGCGTACCATACTTTACATCTGGAGCTAATTTATTTAAAGTATATAAACCCTGGTACGATAGAGTATCAAGAAGTGCGTCACATAAAAAAAACAATAGAGGTGAATGATAGTAAAGCCGCTAAGGAAGTAAGACATTAGTAATTGGTGAAATCGTCTAACTGGAAATATTCGTGAGACTTCTTCCAGCTAGGTTTACAACAGGCTTCTCTCCTGAGCTATATCTCAAACAGTTTCAAGCAACTGAGGTGCACGATCTCAAGGATCTTAACGGAGTTGTAATTGACCAACAGATCCTAGTCCAATGCAGCAACCTCACATCATACTGCGCTATTCCATAGACCGACCACCTTTCCACTTTTTGACAAAATCACGTTGAAAACTTACGGTGTAGAAGTAATGAGGATGATATCCTTTAAGAAAGATCACACCACCGAATACGGCGTCTCAGGAAAGAGAAATCGGATTATCATAACCGTACCCGAATAAACACTGATACCCTGAAACGGACGAGTGGGGTGTCCGCTCTACCCCGGCCACACGTATATAGCCTCCGCCAGGGAAGTCCTACTCACTACCTTCTCGTGACGGGGGTGTTGTTTACAAAATTGAGAGGACGAAAAGCGAATGTCCGGCACCTTAAGCGGGTTAGTGAACATGGAGATTACACCTAGGGGAGTTGGAAAACCCTGATCAATGGTGCACATGGGCTACAGTATCCTGAGGGGAACAAATAGCGTATAAACCAATCGTTGGTCGCCGGCTACTATGAGACTGCGTCTCCTTACGATGCTCCACTGCCTTGTGCAGTATACCTTCAGGTCGAAAACACCGATCGTGGTCTCCTAAGAAAACCAGGTGCTTCGGTTTGGGCACCCGGGCAGCATCACAGCCCTCACATAAATCAAACGAGATTTGTGTGGCGCATATGTATTTGATGCCCCCTTGTACCAATGTGTTCAAATAAATAAATGAAGAAACAAATAACTGATGCGCCTCATCACTGCCACCCGATGTATCAGAGACAACGATAACCAGTCACTGGGAACTTTCAGCTCTGAAAGCTCATATTTTGCAACCATAGAGCAGAGATAGTCCCACTCAAGAGTTGCACACTTGATCCCCTAGACTCGCATCAGGAAGGCGCCATAGTAAACACAAGCCACTCTGGGTCTTCACATAAATTGATGTTGTCTGCTACGACACCAAAAGCACTCTTTGATTCGCAATACCTCGCGTGTATTTATCTTGTTTTGAGATCGTTTATATGGTGCTAGCTAAGTTTACTTGTGAAATCAAACTACTAATGTTAGTAAGCGACCAACGAAAGTTGAACACTCGGGATCTCAACGACCAACGAGTTTCGAGGACGATTGACAAAATCACATTGGATTGTTCATAGGACATAACAAAACACCCAAAGACCCGATCACTGACAAAGCAAGGCTTATGGACGAACCGAATTTCTCCTGTCCGCCGTATTTCGTCAAGTAGGTTGAGCGAATGATTAGTCCTAAATACTTCAGTGCGCAACTACAAGTACCAAGAATGACAGTTGACACTGAATTTCGGATACTATAATTTCTATGAACGCAAACTTGACGAAGAAATAGTGATAAACAGCTTGTCACAACAATTCCATTTGTGGGTAATATGATGAAAATTCGATCACGGACGAAGGAACACTACTGTTTCCACCATTGTAAGAAATAAGGCAAAACCTGGATATGAAACAACTATACGTTCTCATATTAATGAAAAATTGGATGACTTATCGGGAAACAAATAGAAATCTCATACCAATAAAACTAACGTGTCCGATGGCCTACCGAAAGTAAATGAGAACAGAAAATTTGCATTAATTTCTGTATTTGACAAATCAATGCTAAGTGGAAACAAACATGAATTAAGGTCTTATTATCGCGTAAACAGAAAACTTATCTGAAATATATGTACAATGTTCTAACAAATAGGTTGGACTGAGAAGTTAGTAATCTTCAGCACCCTCGGGAGGACGTCGGGCGGCACTGAATGGTGAAGTATTGCGCTTCGTGGACTTTGAAGAGGATGAGTGGTCGTAACGGTGACGATCGTAGAGTTTTCGCGAACGTGAACTGGATCTAGATCTACCAAATCTCCGCCTTTCATCCCGAAAATCATGTCTGGATCTAAACCGACTGCCACCACTTTCGTGGCGACCATGTCGGGAAGCATTGGAGTGTAGATGAGAACTGAGAAAATAAACAAGAACAAAATAGCAACTGAAAAATGGACAAAAACAATTAGAGATAATAGTGAAAAATACCTAAAAATTCACCTTGCGTATATCTTAATCGAACTTTACAATCTATTTTAAATAAACTACTTTGGGCTTTAAAAGTAAATATACCTTGTGGAATCGATTGCCTCCGCAATAGACGATGACTCCAAAATTACCTAATAAGCGGAATTAAAATCTGCAATAAGTACCTTTTTAAATTATTCCAATCGAATCACATTAATTCATCGGGGAACTGTGATACTACTAACCACAGCTTACGTTTAGAAAAAAGAACGTACTTTCGCTCTACACTCCTACCACGGCTGCGACGACGATCACGATCCCGAGAAATAGGAGAGCGATCAGCTGGAGATCGTTTATCCCGTCGTCCATAACGAGAAGAGGAATTCGAATGCTTCTCACTGTATTGTCTTAAATAGTCACGAATTTTCGCGTAGCCAAGGTGCATTTTACCAGACAAATGCTCTTCAACTCGTTGAGGTGCATCGTCTTTGATTCTGAAGGCTCCACAAATCTCACAGACTTCCAACTCTTTAGTCTGAAAACAAGCAAAACAGAAAACATTAAAGAAATAATAGTGGCATACCTGAGTCATTCCAGGACGCGCGTCACCCTCGAGCTGTGATCGCTCAAATTTTAGCTGTTCACACAATTTAAGAACTCCCTGTGCTTGATCAACCTTTCCTTCAGTTCCCAATTCCTCAGCTTGTTTCACCAGGTCATTAATTCTTTTGGTGAGCGCAGCAATTTTTTCTTTCTTTTCACTGGCTCCGATCGGGTCTGGATTGTTAACACATTTATTGACTGCCAATCGCTCATGTCCTCGCCGAATTCTTTTTTCAACATCCTCCAAAAGCTGGGTAAGATAGTGAACAAAATCTTGCTCGTACCCCATCTTTCCAAAACGAGAACTCTTTTTATACGATTCTCTCATGCGCTCATCATGAGATTTAGGACACTGACCCAAATCCGTCTTTGTATTGACAAATAAATCATGAGGACAAAACCCACACAAATAAAACTTGCATACATCATCGTCAGACCAATGTGGACCACCAGAGCTCTCACCATTACAAGCATTTCTGTTTTTACCCATTAGCTCATCTAACAGAGCTTTCTGAGCGGCCAGAGCCATTTCCAATGACGAGAATAACTAGAAAAGAAATAAGAAATATATCCAGGACAACCATCAGGATAAACATCTAAAGCAATAGACAAAAATGAATTCATAGCAGATAGGACTCAGTAACGAGACACGCCTCTGTACGTCGTTAAGTGGGAACCAATGAATCGTTAAAAGAACCGTGACACTTGTGAGAACTGAACGGGTGTGGTCTGAACAGAAAGGAAACGACAGTGGAGTGGTTCTCCATACGGAAAATCTTAGTAAAAAGACGAGCGACTGGATGCTGTGTCAGCGACGCTACTACGCGTCAGTTCGTTCCAATACAGCAATAATAAAAACGAACTTTCAATGTGACATTGTGTTCTAGAAAACCCTGTTACTTCTTATATTAACTGAAGTGAACTACTAGTGACTGCGTTAATAATCTAAAAAGAGAACGACCAACGTAGATACTTTTATCACGTATGTAACGATCTATGCACGGCAGAGTCAAGCCTTTCAATACTGGAGCTGTTAGTTATAAAGAAACATTTTAAAAATATTCTGACTATATTGATAAAAAAAAATCGTAATGACTCGCTTAGTTGATTTTACATATGTAAAGAACTGCAAATTGGAAGCCAATCTTTTGAGTGTGTGCTTGTCACAATCCCTTTACAAAACACAAGTGAACTGGTAACATCAGTTTTACAAAAGCTGTGCGAATGTATCAGGACTACAGTAGCGAAACAAGTGGACCACAACTGAAAATCAGTTAGAATGGACCTAGAACTAACGCTTAATTATTAGGTGACGTATCAAGAGTACGTTTGCGTAAGAAGTGCACTCACGAAAAATTTGAAATGCGCTGTAAGACGAATTTTCAGAAATATCATTAAACGGACTTTTAACCTGACTAAAACTTCGAATTCAAACTATAAACTACGAAACAATAAACGAACAAAGTTTAGTAGGTAAAGTCCTTTTCGAAGACTGCAGGGACCAGCAGCTGCAGTGTTTTCACGGTGAGATGACCACGTAAAAATAGCGAAATTATGCTTAAAATCAATGGAGAGTAATGCATGTAAAATGAATCTAATAACATAGAATAACTTTTCAATACTCGACAAACAGGTAGTTGTGTTTGGCACACCAGGATTTCTCCTTACATATCTACCAGTAGACGTCTGCTAGTTTCTGGACCATAATGGACTGGTTGATCAAGTCGAATCACCCAGTACTTCAGTTTTACACAACGTTGAACCTGACATACGCAATCCGACCAGTTATAGGGTAAATAAAGGACATACTCTAGAAATACGTAACCTTGCGCAATGGAGACCTCACCACATAATCAGAAGGTAGATGAAACCAAGACATGGCTGTCTCAAATACTTTATGGAATCGATGCATCGAATTACTGAAACAATATGAATTTCGAGCTAAAACAGTGACGAATGTCCTTGACTCTCAATACAAATTCGGAACAAAACCGTTTGTGAATAGTTAGAAAATTAAATGGAGACATCTAAATTAACCCTCTACATCCAGAAAACATTTCAACGTAACACGATTGTTTGGACGCAAAATCGCAACCGACAGGAAATTCTAAGGACACTCATGCCAATTATGATAGCAAAACAGGCTTCAGAAAAAGAGAGAAACTCTACGCATCCTACCAAGAACACTAACCCTTGTATGTGCGAACAAGTCACAGCCAATATGTCGTCCTACCTCACCAACAAGATGATTAAAACACAAAGTTCGACTTAGTGCAAAAAACTACTTAAATTGATACTATCGTTATTTTATAAATTCAAGTTATCTAATTGTTGTAGAATATATTATTTTTATTATGACCTTGGACAGTAAATAAAGGCGTAACTTGAAAGCTTTCGTAACAGTTAATTGCATGAATATCTTCTAGGTAGCGCATGACTTTTAATTGTGCTTTAATGAAAGATGAAATTATATACCGTCATTCTCTAGTAAGTCACGACATTCTGATAACAATTTAAGTACGTCGGATCGTTCCCTGTTGACGAGCAGGACAATGAATGCAGAGCTCAAAAAGTCCAAAAGGAACTTGAATCATTAAGAGTATGTTATTTATAAAAACATCATATTTAAACACTAGTGTTTTACACGTAGCAAGTCTGTGATCGTGTGTGTTTCCATTAGTGGCATAAAAATATGTTCAGATGATCTGAAGGTATGTTTAATTGGAATTTAACACTACCTTTCAACAGATTGTTTATATGGCCCATGCTCTTCGCAGAATATCGTACGCTACTTGTGATGCCGTCCACAAACAAGTCGCATTTTTGGCTAGGGAACCATCAGGGTTTGGTAATCTACAGTATTGTCATGTGTTTGTGACGGAATCGCCGTGTGATGTAAGTTCTCAATGGATGTCATCTTACCTCATAAATCAAGCATCTTCAATTGTAATACATTCGCATAATTCTTAATGGCAAACTTTGTGAGCAATAGGACGTTTATCAACATCAGAAAGCCAAATCTAAAACTTTTATATTTCCCACTCATTATCGTCACCATAGTCAATTATTTTCTCCCACAGAATAATGTGTGCGTGAGGATATTGTGTCATTTGTATCCTGTGTGCACGTACACTTTTGACTTAAGTTTAGATGTCCAGCACCAGTCTGTTAGACTTACCAAAGGCGTTAATTGATCCGGACTGGACTGTAATTTGTAGCTGAATACTTATCGTGATGATTGGTGGCATAATATACCAGTGTAAATAAGCCAATAACAATCAAACGATTATTAAACTTTCCTTGTTTTTAATTTTTTTCAATCTTAATACCTTTTTTTATTGAACCTCACTGTCACCATGTATAACAAGTTTGTTATCAGTATTATTATCATCCTGTAAAAATAAGTATATATATTTGCGATTGTACCGCTTTGAAAATGAATTCGCCGAACTAATCTTTCTTATTTGATGCCTTAATGGGATTTAAAATTGTCTTCACTTACTTGTAGTAGTTCTCTCCGCGTATTTCGGTGTATATTTTCTCATGTTTGTTATATGTATTTGCTGAAACTACGTAGAGGTCAATTTGTATTGATCACTGACCGTTTATAAGAAACAGAAATCCCATGTGATAACTTTAAAGAAATCAGTTTGATTTACAATTAATGTGGTCTTTATGATCCCCTATTATATTTCTTGACCTTAAAGTGGGATTCGACTGTTGGTCATGAGGTTTTGTGTCTATCACTGAAAAGCGTACCAAGAAGTACATTAACCATGTACAGGCTCTACTCGAACACTACTAATCCAATCAGAGTTCATAGCGAACTGTTATCGGGTTCAATAACAAAGTGATTGTCCGCTCTCCCTACTCCTGTTTGACCTTATCCTAAGCATCCTTTTAGATATACAATTCATCTAACTTATCAGCAACGGATCTTTCACGAGATTTCCTTACTGACTTAGAATATACAAATAATATAGTCTTGTTTTCTGAACACGCTAATAAGATGAAGTCTTCTGACCACCTTAGGCAACAATACCACCATGTTTGGAATGTAATTATCTCCCTGAAAATGCAAAACTTTGCTCTACGTTTGGCTTGTGTCAGTCTCCGAATTTTTATTTTTATTTCAACACATAGATATTGGTACAAAGAGGCACCAAATACATATGCACCACACAAATCTCATTCGATATGTGTGAGGGCTGTAATACTGCCCGGGTGCCCAAACCGAAGCAGGTGGTTTTCTTAGGGGGCCACACCCCGAGCCTTTGACCTGAAAGTCTGATCCACAAGGCAGTGGAGCATCGTAAGGAGATGCAGTCCCATGGAAGCCGGTGACCAACAATTGATTCATACGCCATTTGTTCCTTCAGGATACTGGAGCCCATGTGCACCATTAGTTTGGGATCCGGTTAAAGCGCCAGACATTCGCTTTTCGTCCTCTCATTTTCGTAAACAACACCCCCGTCACGAGAAGGCAGTGAGTAGGACTTCGCTGGCAGAGATTATATACGCGAGGCCGTGTGAGAGCATTTTGAGAGGAAGAGCGGACTCTCCTCACTCTCGGCCGTACCAGGGCATCATCATCCGAATTGATAACACGGAACTAAGTAGTTAAACACATCGACCGCTTCACTCATCTAAGGCGTCTCATCAGTCCTGATGTCTGACGAAATCTCAACGCGGATTCAGAAGGCTCGACTAGTTTTTGTCAACTTGTGGCATTGATGAGATATCCGTCATCCAATCAAAGGATGAGTTTGATGAGCATCAGTTCTCTTCGTTCTGGTTTTATGAGACCTTCAATGACATGGCTCAAAGTCGTTTGCAATGGCGCAGGTGCATCCACTCTTTATGTTCTCTCAAATTCTAATCTAAATTCTTCATGTCTCTTTCTTTCTCCTCTTTCCAAATTTATTTCACTGGATTATTCTTCTTGAATAACATCTTCATACTCTAATCTTTCCGACCAGTGCTTATACTTTTACTACCCCTACCACTGTGCTAATGTGGTATGGCAACTCGAACTGATGTATGTACGTACGAAGTTCTGCGTTGTTGCTTGTTGGCTGACTGTTCTGGTTTTATGGTTGTCTTCAAAGTATCGCTCGTATATTTTAAGACCACTGAATAAGTAATGGGGTACTAGGTGACGATGGCGAATCGATTGATAAAGTGATAGATTTTCATCAACTGAGGTGGCTGGGACACGTGTTACGCATGTCCAGCCACCGCCCCCAAGTACTCTGGTACGGCCGAGAGTGGGGAGAGTCATCTCTCTCGAAATGCTCTCACATTGCCACGCGCCAGGGAAGTCCTACTGACCACCTGGTTCGGTTTGGGAGCCCAGCCCTCACACAAATCATTTGGTTTGTGTGACGCATATATATTTGGTGCCTCCGTGCACTAATGTTTATGTGTTTAAATAAATGAATGTCCAACCACTATCTACTTTGGTAGGCAATGTTATCTGGTGTATGAATAGGATAGAAGAAAGATAGGGACGACCAAACCAAGGCGTGGGATCAGTTCATGAAGTGGTTAACAATTGAACTGGTCTAATGTTATTATGTGCAGATTACCAGTGATTACAAACTGGATCGTTTGTAATAGTACATGTGCATTCACTTCTGGTGTTCTTTTATAACCTGATACCCGAAATCTCCCTACGTATTTTTTCTCCTTTTTTCTCTACCTAATCTCTCCTCATACTAAGAATACTTTTACTAATTATACTACTCTGTTAATTCGCTCTAACAATTCCGTCTTGCTTAGCTAATGGGGGACGGCAACTTGAACCGGCGTACCGGGTTCTACGTCACGTCTGACTGACTGACTTAAGTATACTAACGAATTTCTTTGTGCTTCATGTGATAACCTTACATTCTGACTTGAAAAAATATTTGCGTAACTCGAAACTCATGTCAAAAGCTTAGCATAATTTTTCCCTTTTTTATTTCTTAGATACATTTTCTACTCTTGATTCTCTAGTTTTATTTGTTTTTCCATAGACATAAAGAGTTCATCATTTGTGTGTGGGCTGTGATACTGCCCGGGTGCCCAAACCGAAGCAGGTGGTTATCTTAGGGGGCCACACCCCGAGCCTTTGACCTAATGGTCTAACCCACAAGGCAGTGGAGCATCGTAAGGAGATGCAATCCCATGGTAGCCGGTGACCAACGATTGGTTCATACGCCATTTGTTCCCTCAGGATACTGGAGCCCATGTGCACCATTGGTTTGTGATCCGGTTTAAGCGCCGGACGTTCGCTTTTCGTCCTCTCATTTTCGTAAACAACACCCCCGTCACGAGAAGGCAATGAGTAGGACTTCCCCGGCAGAGGCTGTATACGCGCGGCCGTGTGAGAGTATTTCGAGAGGGAGAGCGGACTCTCCCCACTCTCGACCGTTTTATTTGTTACCTTAACATTTCTCTAGTTATCATTATTATTTCCGTTTTCGCTTGTTATTTTTTTTTTGCTGTGTTGACGCGAAGTGTTGCGATTTGTTTCGACACACATTTATTCCAGGTTTCACTTCGACGTGTCACTTTCTTGGAACTGTCGTAATTGTGTACGACTTTATGATGATGCCGAATGATTATGGTTAGACCATTAACTACATACTTCAAGTCGTCCTTCAGATACTAAGTTTATATAATCACCATGTCCTTTTGAGCGTCTGATCGTTAATGGAAAATTGAGGAATTCCTACATCTGATGTTCTGCCTTAAACTCACTGTTAATTTAAAGCAGCAAGAAAACAGCTGTATAACTTCAATGTAATTGTCATGATGGCAGACCTCATAAGGACATTCAGCCAATTAGTCAAAACAGGGAATGTTTTAGTAACAGTTGTCAGTCAACTACAGCGTCGATGAACGTTGTTTGAATGCGATTTTTCTTTGTTTCATGTTTAAGACCGATCCAACTGACCAGAGTTTCTGAAGGTAACTACATCTATCAGTTTCGGTATTAATTATTTCTGAACCCAATTTGGAAAATTCCAGAATCATTATCTCATTTTATCCAATTAGAAATAGGAAGTAATTCGGCGTTTTCACCTTTTATTCTTGGAATATAAGTTTTAATCCGCACGGATAGTATGCTCCATAATATGTCCCACCTTTATTTAGTGAACGAGTGTTTGTGTGAGACTTTTAGTTATCTTTTTTGGTATTTTCCTCCCTTTTATTCGTTATTTTTAACCAGGATTTTAATCGGCATTTACACAAATAGCTTTTACTACGGATACATTTATTGCCTCATATATTTACTATTTATTGGTCACTAAAGATTGTATAAACACGTTGTTCTTGTCAGTGCAAAAAAAACTTAATCTTCGTAGAAAGAGTCGAAGACCTTGTTGTATGCATTTTTTTATCTTCAAGTCTTGAATGTTCTGTTCCTCTTTGACTCAGTTTTCCTGTGCTTTTGTGAAATTTAAATAATTTGTTTGTTATTTTTATAGAATCTGCATCATCACCATTTTCCCATCCCTGCATGTGACAAGAATAGTTTATTTCCGATTTTTCTCGAAACTGTGACATATATATTTTATTATTACAATCCCATTCTTATCAATCATCTACTTTTCATATTCGTTAAAAAATAGTATAGTCTGTAAACTGCTTTTTGGTTTATATCTTGATGATCAGTTTTGTAACCTATTTTCCATTGTAAATGACTCATCAACCATTTATGTTAATTAAGTTGCTTTTGATTTCTAGTGTGTTACATCAGATATCTGTTCTATCTACAAAAGTATTTTTTTCTTTGTTATATCATACAAACACAAAACATTTTAGTCTTGCCTAGAAACATATGTATCTATAGTATTTAATGTCGATAAAAGTCGAACAAAACTGTGCGTTTTTTGTCGCGGAATATTCCTGAAATCAATTTCAAAATACATATTAACGTATTTAACCCACTACTGTAGGGAAATTAAACAACAACCTGTTGACTATACATAAAGAGTCTGTTTCTTGTTCTAATATTTGTTACTGGTTCTGTTTAGAGCCAGTCAATAAGGTTGTTTGTTTCGCTTGGTATGAAAAGTTTTTTCTGTCTATTGTGTTCCACTTAGATATCATTCATTATATTGCAGTGCACAGTCTGCACCAGTTTTCCATCATGTCTCTCATCATAACGTTAAATAATTTCTCAACTTATGACTGCCTAAACCGGTAATCATATTTTCTTGCAGACATGGATATTATCCGTTATTTTAATTTACTAGAAATCTTATAGATTGGACAAATATAAAAAAGCCGATCTTTTTGGCGTTCACTGAACTTATTTGTTATGAAAGTAATAAATTCAACGGTTTATTTTGTGCTTTAAAACGCCATTAACTATATCCCACTGTGAAAATGTTCAGACCCTGGTAATCGATTGATTAATGTATGTTTACAAAATGTAGAATCTGACTACTATATGGGTCACATTCAGTCTAACCCCTAGCTTTCTATGAGTTTGACACTGTGTTTGAATTCAAATATCGAGCACTGTGATAACAGATTCACATTATCTAGATGCTTTTAATGAGGAAACACTGCAGAAAACAAAATGATCAATTAGTGACCAAATAAGTTGGATATCCATTCACAAAAGGTTTTTTTAATATCATATAAATCTGTGATATTTTTATTTACTATATTAAATGCTTGAACAAATAAAAAACTAAAATGTTACTTACTCGGCAATTATAGTTACACAGTTTCTCAAAGTTACATCTTACACCGGCTTAATATTACAAATGTGAGGTGCTTTTTTAAGTGTCTTCGTTAGTTTGATGTGTATTCTAAAAGTGGTCTGATAGTGTAAAAATTCCGTTATTTTGCAACCGGCTTTATTTTTCTATTTATTTCACTAAGATAACTTTCCCCTACATTACTTAATGATTGCTTGTTTGTAAAATTTTGATCAAAATCGGATTTCAGTTTCAATAACTTATGAATTTTTCATTTTTGTCCATAAGTACACGTAATAATTATATAATGCACTTTAGTTAAGCAATGATATCGCTGAACAATAGTAGCCAGTACACTACTAGATTGTTTACTGTCCAATAACTTTATATTATATTTTTTATCTAAATGTTTGGCTGGATTTCAGTATCATTTCATTTAACAGACTTAGATATACTTCCATTATTTTCATTAGGCATTAAACACTGACTCAACTAATTATTCTCAGAGTTCAATCAAATTGATTGTTGTGCGATGTATTTATTGTTTTTTAAACAGGCGGAAGAATTAAATCGGCTGATTGGAAACGCCTTCAAATTTGCCTATGTTCGACAGCGCCTTATTAAGCTTCATCAAGCTGGAAAACATGATTTTTCCACTCCAGTAAATATACCTCAACTTAGCGATTGTCATCCTGTTTGGCTTCCTCAAACTGAACGAAATCCCAACAGTCTTTCTTTGTTAAGCACTCTTAAACTCCCTCCACCTCCAGAGTTCCCTCCCCCAGTTTCAATCGAAAATGGAACTACAGCCGAACGGCAAACTAATCTGTCGTCTCCTGGCATCCATTACACCAATACAGATGTTATTTCAACATGTGATGATCCTGTCGCTAGTACTAGCACTATTATGTCTACTTTCTGCCATGATTCACTCGAATCATCTACTGTAAATATGTACAAAAAAGACATTATTAAGCATGAATCTTTACCTGTGACAGTAGAAAATCCAACAACTTCATCCTCTTCGTCAGATAACGATCCTAACCAACTTTCTGTTCATTCAGATTCTGTACTAGTCAGAGATAATGGACTAAACAATAACAGTCAGTCTAATAAAGATGCTAGTGAACTGGAGAAAAAGTGAGTGAATTTTCGTATCAAAATTAGTAACAATAGTCCATTGTTTTGATTATTTGTTTGTATTTATGTTTATATATATATATATATATATATATATATATATATATCTTTGTGTTGGTGGAGAGAAGTCACTGACCTTTACATATGGATATTCGAAACAAGTGTTTTCCTGTACAAATGGTGATTCATTGTCGATGAAGGAATTAATAGAATTAAAGGTTATCTACTAGTTGCCATCCTAGTTGAGAGAGGTTTCAGTTTATGATAATATTCATGGGAATTATTTCATAAATCATACTGTATTTTATTGCTTCTTGTGTATACACTATTTTATAATAGTAGAACACGAAACGTGAATATATATATATATATATATATATATATATATATATATATATATATATATATATATATATATATATATATATATATATAACTTAATTTTAAGGCATTCTTTGCAGAAAAATTAGTCCCGTTCACGATCTTATGTCGCCGTTTGTATATGAATTAAGAAGATATCTAATGTTTTACTGATATTTCACAGGAAATAATAATTTTATTATGATAATTTCTATATCTGTTTTTGATTTAAATAAGCCTGATTAGCTTAAAGTTAATCAGTTCTGAATGTTAGGAAATGGACTCACTGAATTCCTGTATTTATGTGGTGAATTTTTAACGATGGTAATTTTGGTTCTCATTAACCTCTTGTAACAACAGCGTGGTCGGTTGCTTGGTATCATCTTGTTTCATATTGTATCGCTACTAAACAAAAAGTGTTTCGCTTCGTAAACGTGGGATTTATTATTTCAAGTTTTACTAGCAAGCTAGTTGACTTAAGAATATTTTTAATAAACGACATAGTTTTAAATTGAGACATTGTGTTATTAGTATGTCCAAAACGTCTATCTAAGCAGCACATTTTTTATCCTTCAACATAGTATCTTTAAAAAACAGAAACATTACACTAAATGTATCATATAACTTTGGATTATTAAAATGATTACACATACCAACTAGATCATATCAGAAATTTTACAAAGATGTTTTGAAAGTTCATGCAAGTTTAGATCATCAAAAATGGTAGAGGTTTCTAGTAAGATTACTTAAAATCATTTTAACCATTTAATTGAATCATATTATATCTCCAGATGATAAATTTCTCTTATAGTATATAAACAAAATGATAAAGTTTTTTTACTTAATATGTTATGTCGATTTTTATTCTATATCTTATATCACTTACTTTTGCTAGTTTGTTTACAACTTTCGGAAGGGGAAATCAAACGTTTAAGTTAGACTAAACATTGCTTTGCCAACTAGTGTAGCAAACGAGGAATTGGTGAAGAAAACCAATATATTGTTTAATGCAACATCACACAGTGCCTTTGCAAAATATTAAAATCATATATTAAATATATCACTTGCATATCTTCCTTCAGTTGTCCTTTACATACCTCATCATTCTCGTAATCCTGTTATCTCGACTTCTCTGTTTTCTTTTCTCTTTTTATTTGAGTTTTCCACTGGTAGGCATCCCACTTCCGACTCCTGCTATATACTACTTTTAACGCACATTACGCTAGATGTGTGAGAAAAAGATTGACATCAGCCTCACAGTAGACCACAGAACTTTTTGATGTACTTGAGCAAATGTTATCTTACTGTCTGTTATTTCGACCGTTATAATCACTAAGTTTCTTTTTCCTAATGTTTTGATAACACTCGACGTCTTTCACTGCATAAGATAGACTGAAAATGTAGACCATTGGCTTTCAATTCAGTGATCTTGATACCTAATGGTGCTGATGATGTTGTGGATGCATACGTCTTAATAATTCCAAACTAAAACAAAATAATTATCCAATGATACCTATCTTTCAGTATTTTTCTAGTTCAAATCAATTCGTTAATTTGTTAGTTATCATATCATTACCCGAATTACTGCCTGATGCATATACTACCTAACCATTTTTAATCATTAGCAAATGTAACTGTCTGCTATCAGTTATATTTCAGATTTGAAGACTCATATTTTGTTATACATCGATAAGTTTTCTGTATAGAAAAGGTTGATTGATAACAAATTAAATCTTTTGCGAACTAGTGGTAAATCACACGTTAAAATTCTTTTATTGTATGGTTTTATTAATCTCTAACCGATATATTTTACTTTGTTAGACTTCACCGCATTTCGACTCCACAAGCCATAGATTTGGCGTTCTTACGTCGTCATTTTCTTCGACGAAGCGAGGGCAAAGGATCTGAAAACCCCAAAAATGTCTGTGGTGGTAGTGCCAGGCAACCCCGCTTACGCCAAGGTTCAACTCTCTCAAATCTCCTGTCGTCTGCACGGCATAGCTCATTTTTCCCAAGCTCTTCTAGTTGTGTTAGTGACAGTACAAATATCCTCCCTAAAACTTCACAGTCACAAGAAACTCCGGATGTGTCTGATATATTGAACACTCCTAACCCCACTCGCAGACCACCTATATTTGTGGATCTCCGTACTTTTGCTGGAGGAAGTCCAGTTGTTGCACTAAAAGAACGTTTGGATGCTCAAGCTATTGCAGATGCTAAGGCATCTGCTTTTGCCGAGGCTGCAGCTGTCCTTGCAGCTGCAAAACAGGTATCATCCAGGTCCTTAGCTCCTTTGCAGCCAGCCACGAACAATGCCTCAAAAAATGTAGAACAGCTGACTAAACCAACGATGTGTCCTATTACCAGTCGTACTCCGAACTCGCCATCCAGTGGAAATTCATCATCGGTAGAAACTTCCGATTTATCTCCACCTATACCACCAGTCAGGTATGTTGATACTGTATTTCCTTACTCAAAATTGTCAGCTTACTTAGATTTTTGCTTAGATTATGTAAACTCTAATTTTTTTCTCCTTATAAACAAAGGAAGACAGTACCTTCTGGAATGTTTGAGTACATAACTAGTTAAACACTTTTTTTCTCCGATTCTAAACTATCAGATCATATTTCCTTTTTGTTTAATTTCACTCAGTTCATCCTCAGGATTTTAACCATATTGCTATACTGTTAAAAATACTCTTCTTTCCGCGCAAAAAGCGTTTGATTTCTACCATTAATTAATCGTTGACAAGTTTATTTAGAGACTTCCCATATACAACAATGCATTCAGACAACAAAATTTATTTATGAATTTTTTATCAAAAAAATAGACGGTATCTGACTTAGGTCAACATGTACTCAAGTGAACCGAAATGTCTTGTTAATTGTCATAAACGATTGTTTTATGATTTGTTATGAACATATTTTGCTTGATGATAGATGATGCGCAATAATACAATGTGGTCAGCTGATACACTTTTAATTACAATATACACTTTCAAAACATTGTTTAGATATTACCACATTTCTTTAATTTTTTGACTACAGAAATTAGCAGTTTATTTGCTTTGGTATCGTCATCTTCATAAGTATAATTATGATGAATAAGGTATATTCAAACTACCTTTCGTTAATCTCAGTAATGAGCTTATATCCATTCGATTCTCAATACATTTTAAAATCATCAGTCTCACAGCTATAGTGCACACCTTAATGACTTTGCAATGTAATGACAATTCCTTATCACTGTTTCAGCCTCAACTTGCCGTATTACAAGTTTTCAATTATACTTCAAACACAATTACTAGTTGTGGAATTGTCAACATATTCAAATTCACTAAATGATTTGATACCTACATTCTAATGCACAACTATTAGAACATAAGATTCAAATTTAGGAATGTCTAAAATCGAGTTTTTAGGTGTTCAAAATCAATATATATCTGAAAAGCTCAATAGTAGATATATACGATGTGTTTATGAAATGGATGGTAATTCCCTTTTACAAAGCAAGATAAATATTTTAATTCAAAAGTCAATGAATAAGATTTTTATTCCTGTTTAGATTATACTGAACAAGACTCGGTAAAATGTTAACAAAACTATACACTAAGTGAAAGGATCTAACTATAACTTCAACTAATTGTCAGAGTATGTCAACGAGTCAAAATATAAAAACAGATAAGCATAATGAATTTTTGAATAAGTGAGTACAAAAGATAAGATCCTAGTTACTACTTCAACTTCTCTCACATTCCATAGCATACACTAAGTCAATGATCATTAATTAGTACTGTTTCTTTTTTGATAATCATCGGTTTATTGTAATGCACTGCGTACAAGACTTTAATGCCCTACAAATATTGTTTCTCGATTGTTTGGTCTTCGTTTTATTCTTTTCAAAGGCTCTTTAGAAGCCTTTGATAAATCATATTGCGAGACAGCAAATATTTATACATCATATCATTTATTTATATATGTTTTGAGTTTTTTGGGAGGAAAACAAAATGCTAAGGAAATCAATTCACCACACTAACCAGACTGGTAACTTATGCGATAGATAAACACACCTATTTTATTGTATGCACATGCGCACTTGTACAGTTTTCTGGGAACAGATCATTTTTATCGTCTATCCATCTTTATGTATTTGTTTACAGCTATTCAGGAGTGGTTAGATGCAATTATGTCGTCAATCATTTTCGTATAAAAAGGTGAAAAACGGTTTATTGTTACCATGTGAGGATAATCAGTCCAAGATTGAACTTTTTTCCTTAAAACATATTTCTCCACGAAACGTCTGATATTTAATACTAAGAATGTGTGCAGTCTACAAATAATTATGTACATATAAATTTGTATGAGAGGAAAGAGTGTATTCGTTATTATTTGTGCGCTCTATGTGCAATACATACATACGAAACTAATCACTACTTTCTTCTGATTTGTTACCGGTAATTCTATTTTCCCTATTAGAGTGGCATTTAACTATTTTCGACTATTGTTATTTTTTTATGTGACTTCATTTTTTCATGTCCCATTCCATCTCCTGGCTGTTAGTTGACAAATGAAGAGTATTTACATCTGATTTGAATTATCCTTCAAAGTACTCTTAGTTGATTAGCCAGATCTGAGAGCCAACCTATCTTCTGCTAACTCCCAGCGTTTTCAACTATCTCATTGATAGTATTAAACAAATATCTATTGTTATTGTTTTCCTCTTATTTACTTTCTCTATCCACTACTACCCCCGTGATCATAACATGAATGTTTTATCACTTTGCATTCTAGTTGTTCTTAATTCCTACAAATCCGAGCTTCCATGAACACATTTTCAAGAATTCTACAGCTAAGAAACTGTCAAGATTTATTGATATATTTACTCTTTCTAAGAATTAATATCACTAATCATTAATGATACACAAGCGAAAAGCGTTAGATTTTCATTCATTGAAAATGTTTAGTCTGTTTTCTAGCGTAGAAACATTTTTTTAAAAATCAGTTATCTAATTGACTTACTTAATTCCATGTACATTGAATTATTATTATTAGCTTTATTCAATATTATATTTTTGGTAAAATATAGAATTCTCAGCGCAAAGTATTTCAACAAGTTTCCGTTTCTTTCTTCTTGGTCGGTTCTGGCGATAAATATTGAGTGATCGCCTGTTAGATGTTAGCAGTTCACTGAATAAACATCTGAATAATGTGCATTCTTTTCGTTGTATATTGCCAGCAACCACATTGTCTCTTATTGAGTTTTTTGTAACTTTGACAACGAAAGGTTGTACACTTTTCAGAAACGCAGCAGAATAGGTTATGCGATTAATAGACATAATGATATATTAAAACAAACAAAAATAGAAAACTTGTTGAAATATCTAAATGGCAGGAACAGGTAGCCCAGATGTTCAATCAGGCCTCCCTTTTAGATCACTCTCAGGGATTAAAAATTACTTTAAATTATGTTTTCATCATTTATCAATTATGGACTTATTAGGATCTGTTAAACTAGATTTTTTTTTCTTAAACAATAAGTTTCCTTTCCATCAGAATAAAAAATAAATCGATATTCTTCAGTGTCTAATAAATAAATCCAATTTATTTCCTTTGTAAATGATAAATCTTTCTTTTCTTTTAAAAAGAAAAACATACTATTTGTAGCATTTGTTTTATTTAAATTAATGTATTGCCAATATTGAAATCTAAAAATAGAAACTTTAAAAAGAGCATTTGTTTATACAATTTGTTTTAATATAAGTGAATCATAATTTCTATATTAAGTATTCATTTTCATGTATACTGTATTTTATGATTTACTGTTTTGACAGTGAAAAAGATAAACAGATAGACAAATAGATTTCATAACTGGATATAATATTTTCTTTATTCACCATATTACACTTTACAACGAATAAAGTTATAAGAAATTTTTAAAAAAAAAAAGATGTAAAAGGAATCATCATACAAATTATAATGTTTTATCAATAAAGACTGTTAATATTTACATTTATGCAAATTTTCGTTTTTACAAGCTGTACAGAGTTTACCCTCGCATCACTTATGACATATTGTTCTTCTGTTGAAGTCATTATATATTCGAAGATTGCTTTTAACATAAAGGAGATTTTAAATTCACTTATATCTCACGTTCCAACGTTCTGGTAAAGAAAAACTAATTTTGTTTACGGTCTATGTTATCGACTAGTCTAGTAATCTGAGGATCCGATGATCCTGACTATAAAAATAGTCTTGATGTGATCATATAGAGTTATTAGATTTCACAAACTACGGTATAAGTGCTGGTTTTTTTAAAATAATCTTTCGAAAGCAAATGTATATAGTCTAATTATCTAGTAAATATTTTTACGTATGAATCATATTTGTTCACACCTCTGTTTATGCAGTAAAAGGGATAAATTACAAAACTATCCATCATTGGAAGATATCTTAATGGATTAATTCTCATGACAGATCCATCGAAAAGAATTAATATAAATACAGATATTCCTAAGTATTGATAAACGTGTTAGGTAGAATTTCACGTAGTATGTGTTATGTAATAAGGAAAACCTGTTAACCCTATGTCATAATTCACATTAAAATAAGGGTATTTCTTAGCTATCCGTTTGTCTTTTTTAAAGTTATATTGTTCAATAAAACCACTGACTAATACACATTTAGTTATAAATAGTCTTTTAGGTATCCACCTAAATTAGGCGTTTCTTGTTCATATCAATTAGTTCTCTCCCCTTTTCTGTTCCAGTCAGGTGTTAATGAATTAAGAGTATTATGTCGTCTGACTAAACTTGTAGTTTTTTTTAGAAATTACCACTATAATCTGCATAATAAGCATAACTAGAAAATAATAATTTTACTTCTCTCTTTCTTTCCATAAGCATTTAAGTATTAGATTGTTTACAGAGTTTTTATTTCATGTATGTTAATATTATGCTAATTTTATGTCTGGGATACATTACATAAATCTGTTTTACTTTCTTATACATCGTATATTAATGCGTTATTACTGCAATCGTAGTGATTAATTGTGGAAAGGGGGATTATAATTAGATAATCTCTCTCTCTCTCTCTCTCTCTCTCTCTCTCTATATATATATATATATATATATATATATATATATATATATATATATTCTTACGTTTATGTCGATTTACGTTACTTTGTCCTCGACATCTTGTGTATCCTTGAATTGCACTGTTAATTCGGTCTGAACACAAAATCGACATATATTTCATGGATTCATCTCTTGACTTATATACATGAACATAATACACTGCAAATTTGGAGGTGCTGTATCCTATGGAGTAGATAGTTTGCGTAACCATTATTGTCTTCCTAGATAACATCATTTCAATAACTTGTATTATTGAAATATACACGATACCTTTAAGTATCTCATTATAAGTACGCACACTTATTCTTTACAAGGTCTGTTCCCCTAGTTTTTCATGATATCGTTGTTGTTGTTGTCCCTAAATATGAAATGCAGTTTTATTCAATAATTAAGCAAATTTTGCAATTTTTATAAAAAATGTTCTTTATGTCATTTGAGAAAAAAAATAAATGACTTGTTTTTACCAATTAATTAACTAGTCATCTTCCCTTGTCTTCCACCGACATTCTGAGATTCTAAGTTCCTCATAAGTTTTTTTGTTTTTATTTCACTAATTTATATTTTCTCGAGTAGAATCCTCATTGTCTAATCTTTCCTATTACTGCCGATATTGTTACTACTTCTACTGTTCTGGGATTTGACCTGATATTTTCATTTTTTCTGTGTTAATTGAGTATAAGAACTTAAACCCATGTACATACGTACTAGGCTCCACGTTGCAACTGACTGAATTTTAATCCGAATATCAGTTTGCATGATATTTATGCATAAGTGCATTATATTCAATGCAGTAACAACTGTTTATTAGTAAATAATTTAGAATGTTTACTTAGCCCACATGTATACAATGTGTAATGTATGCGTTTTTAATGAATTATAGATGCTACTTGAAAAGTATTTCAACTTCAAATTAGTATAATTTGGTTTCAATAAAACTATATATTTCTACAGCAGATATAGTTTTCTTAGGAGTTTATAAAATGCCTGTCTTATTTTAGTTTCAGAATAGTCCATATTTTTTGGTGAATAATTGTTTTATAATTAGTTAGTATACGTATTAAACTGTAACTTACTCTTTTAATTTTATTTATCTTAAGAATGCATTCACTTAGAAGAAGTCATGAACAATATAACTCAAAGAATTTTTCACCTCATTTATCAACTTCCAGTCCTGTACCTGAAGATTTATTTAATGAATTAGATAAAGACGAAGATCGTGAAATTGTTGAGTCAATCGAAGCTGTTATGAAAGCAGCATCATATGATTCAAATAGTCCAAAGGAAAGAAAACCAAAGCATCAAAATACAGAATGCAATCCTTCCAACATTACTTCATATCGTAACACTACTTTATTGGTTGATGTACCTGATGTGCCTTGTCATTCAAAGGATTTCAAGCAGCAATATATAGATGGTTCAAGGTAATACTGCATTTTTATTTCTTCCCTAAAATTATTATTACCTCTTTTGTCATATTATTTTAGGGTCGATAACTATTTCATCTATATGATGAATTGTTCCCTAGTTGTAAATTATTGGTATTAAGAATTAAAAGTATATTTTTTATAAAGTTCTGTGATGTTTATCTTCGGTAGTCATTTGTTCAAGCTTTCCCATTGACGATACTATAAAAAGAACTTAAAACTATAGAGATTTGTTTTCCATATTGTGATCTCAAAAACAAAGTGGACAATTACCAGTACAAGTACGAAACAAGTTGATGAGAAACAACGTATTAAACGGGAATGTTTAGTTAACTACTTTAGCGAACAGCTCGATATATCTACAATTTAATTTCAGTTGTCTAACACTCTTACTTACTTACTTACTTACTTACTTACTTACTTACTTACTTACGCCTGTTACTCCCAATGGAGCATAGGCCGCCGACCAGCATTCTCCAACCAACTCTGTCATGGGACTACCTTCCTAGTTATATCCAAATCTTGTTCATTTTTCTCATGTCTGTCTCCATTTCCCGGCGTAATGTGTTCTTTGGTCTTCCTCTTCCCCTCTGGTTTTGAGGATTCCATGTGAGGGCTTGCCTTGTGACGCAGTTGGGTGCTTTCCTCAATGTGTGTCCTATTCACTTCCAGCGCTTCTTTCTGATTTCTTCCTCCACTGGGATCTGGTTTGTTCTCTCCCATAGTAGGTTGTTGCTGATAGTGTCCGGCCAACGGATCTGAAGTATTTTGCGTAGACAACTGTTAATAAACACCTGTATCTTCTGGATGATGGCTTTCGTAGTTCTCCAGGTTTCCGCCCCATACAGTAGAACTGTCTTGACATTTGTATTGAAAATCCTGACCTTGGTGTTGGTTGACAGTTGCTTTGAGTTCCAGATGTTCCTCAGTTGTAAATATGCTGCTGTTGCTTTGCCGATTCGCGCGTTCACATCTGCATCAGATTCACCGTGTTCATCAATGATGCTGCCCAAATATGTAAAGGTTTTAACATCTTCCAAATTTTCTCTGTCAATTGTGATTGGATCGTTGCATGCTGTGTTGTATCGGAGAACCTTGCTCTTCCCTTTGTGTATATTGAGACCTACTACTACTGAGGCTGCTGCTACCCTGTTCGTCTTCTCCTGCATTTGTTGTTGCGTTTGGGATAGAAGGGCCAGATCGTCCAACTGCATCCTAGATGTCCATTGTATCCCGTGCTTCCCTTCAGATGTTGACGTCTTCGTGATACAGTCGATCACCAGGAGAAAGAGAAAGGGTGAGAGTAAATAACCTTGCCTAACACCGGTCTTCACTTCAAACGACTTTGTCAACTGTCCTCCATGCACGATTTTGCAGTTTAATCCATCATAGGAATTCCGTATGATATTGACTATTTTCTGAGGCACGCCGTAGTGTCGAAGAAGTTTCCATAGTGTTGTTCTGTCCATGCTATCAAATGCCTTTTCGTAGTCAATGAAGTTGATGTAGAGTGATGAATTTCATTCAATTGATTGCTCCACAATGATCCGTAGAGTTGCGATTTGGTCTGTACACGATCTATCCTTACGGAATCCTGTCTGTTGGTCACGAAGTTGGGCGTCTATGCAGTCCTTCATCTTGTTTAACAATACTCTGTTGAAGACTTTTCCCGGTATTGAAAGAAGAGTGATGCCCCTGTAGTTATCACAGTTGCTGAGATCGCCTTTCTTCGGTATTTTGATCAGAAGTCCTTCTTTCCAGTCTGTTGGTACTTGTTCCTCATCCCAAATCTTATTGAAGAGAATGTGGAGTATCCTTGCAGTTGCCGCTACGTCTGCTTTTAGTGCCTCTACTGGAATGTTGTCCGGTCCTGCTGCTTTGCCACTCTTGATTTGTCTGATGGCCATGCTGATTTCTTCAATTGTTGGTGGGCCAACGTTGATTGGGAGGTCCGTGGGTGCTGCTTCGATGTTGGGTGGGTTCAGTGGAGCTGGTCGATTCAAGAGTTCTTTGAAGTGTTCTACCCACCTGTTTTGTTGCTCTTCAATGTTGGTGATTACCTCACCTTCTTTGCTTTTCACTGGTCGTTCTGGTTTGCGGCGATTTCCAGAGAGTTTCTTTGTTATGTCATACAATTGTCTTATGTTTCCTTCTCTTGCAGCCTTTCCGCCGTCATTACTAAATCCTCCACATATTAACTTTTGTCGGTTCTGATGCTCCTTTTCACCTGCTTGTCTACTTCTGTGTATTTAGCTTGTGCCTTGACTTTCTCTGCTCTTGTTCGGCTGGTATTGATTACTGCCTTCTTGTTCCTCCTTTCTTGAATCTTATCCAGTGTATCAACAGTGATCCATTCCTTGTGATGGTGCTTCTTGTGGCCCAGAACCTCATGACATGTTGAACTTATTATCTCTTTTATCCCTTTCCAGTTGCTCTCCATAGTAGTTCCTTCTCCAGTGAGTAGATCATGAAGGGCCTGGAACTGATTGCTGAGGGCTATCTTGAATTTGTTGAGCTTGTCAGTATCCCGAAGAAAAGCTGTATTAAACTTTTATGATATTATCCACCCCGTTGTTCAGTGCTTCTTGAGTTTCAATTTCATCTTGGCTACCAGCAAGTGATGGTTTGAGGCTACATCAGCTCTTTTGATTCTCACATCCTCTATCGTCTTACTGAACTTTTTGTTGATGCAGATATGGTGATTTAGTTTTGCGTAGTGTAATCCGGTGATGTCCATGTGGTTTTGTATATGCGTTTGTATGGGAATATAGTTCCGCCTATGACCAGTTTATTGAAGGCACATAGCTTTGCAAATCTCTCACCATTTTTGTTCTTTTCTCCCAGTCCATGTCGTCCCATGATGTCTTCATATCCTGTGTTGTCCATTCCGACCTTGTCGTTTAGATCTGCCATCAGAGTGATCAACTCCTTTGCTGGGCACTTCTTGACGATTGACTGCAGCCTATCGTAGAATTGATCTTTAACGTCTTCATTGTAGTCGTTGGTAGGCGCATAGCATTGGATAACGTTCATTATCATGCCCTCTTTCTCTGTTTTGAAGGAGGCTTTGATGATCCCTGGTCCATGAGATTCCTATCCTTTAAGTGCTTTTCATGCTTGTTTGGACAGAATCAATGCAACTCCTTGTGTATGTGGGGCATTTTCTTCATCATGGCCAGAGTATAACAGAAGCTCTTCTGAAGCTAGTCGTTGTTGTCCAACTTGCGTCCAATGTGTTTCACTGATCCCATGCATCTCCAGGTTGTATCTCCTCGTTTCTGCAGCAATTCGGAAGACTCTCCCGGTCTCTCACATTGTACGAACATTCCATGTACCTAAATAAATGGTCGCTCTGGTTGTCAGAAGAGGCATCGGCCTCGTAACTTCCGAAGGAATTCGGCTTTCATCATGAGGCTCCATAGTTCTTCTAAATGAAGACCTTCTGACTCCCAGGGCAGAGGCTAAAAGGTTTGAATAAGTCTTTCTGGTTAGCGTTTTTTAGCGAGTTAGTTTTCTACGAGATGGGGACGCTAACTACATGCCCAACCCTCCTCCTTTATCCGGGCTTGGGACCGGCAGTAGCCCCCGGAGGGACTCCAGGCAGAGTTGTCTAACACCCTGCTTGTACTTAAATCGAACATTGATCCTGGTCACTTAGTGTTTTTCGAAATTGAGATGATCGTGCAAAATTTGACACGGGACAAAGATGCGTGATATTGTGATTTTTCGTTCCAATTATTTATTACTGTTTTCAGCTTGTACGAATAGCATTGAATAGTTCCCGTGGTATTTCCAAACATTATTTTTCAGTTTAAACTTTTGTTCATCAAATTAACTTCTTTATTTAGAAATTAGAGATTTAAGAATCACATAAAAGTCCAGTTAAAAATTCATATCTTTTATGAAATGTTTCAATAGTCTTTTTTTAGAATGAACTCTTAGGTCAATTGTTTTCATTCTCTCATTTCTATATTTGATCTCTTACATACTTTATACATAATTTTATAAATGTTCTGTCTTCTTAACACTAAATACTTTTTTGTTATTGTATCGATTATTATTTTAATGTATAATATACAAACTTTGTCAACTATATTAGTTCTTATGTTAACTATGTGTTTGTATTCATCGGTTTATTAGGATTTCCCAACCTAGTGTTTACAAGCAAACTCAAAATAGTACTAGATCATCAGAATTTCATGGAAATATACACGTCTCTTCTGGAAACTCTTATCTTCTTGGTAATATGGGCTCTCAACCTCAACCACAGTATCCTTTTGAACAGCTTATTGAACTCAATCGAAATGATACCCAACAAGAAAAACCTCATTCATATACACCTGATATGAATTTTGTCAGTTCTTCTTTACATGATCCACTCCAAATTTTGGCCGATACAACATTTCAAGATACACATAGAAAACAAATATTTCCTTCAACCGTATCTAGCAATGTTCGTGTTATGCCTACACCAGGATCGATAATGTCAACGTCATCACTTTCAACAGAGACTCCAACACCAACTGCTACTCCTACACCAACTCCTGAACAAACCTCTCAGTTTCAGGGATGTAATAAAAATTCTGGTGATAGTGATAATTCTTTAAATCAAGCGCCTTGGTTTCAAGCTATGCTACCCAGAGAAATAGCATTTGAATTGCTCGCTAAAGAAGAGGTATCGATTTTTTTTCTCGGTTAAAGATAATAAAGTATCACATTATTTGAAAAATATTAGGTATACTGAATAATATATATTTTATTTTTAACTAAATGCTTTAATGAATTATTTGGTACAATTAGTTCCCTTTGAATAAAGCCAAAACATTCATTGAGGCTGAATTGTATGAATTCATTCTATTTCATAATTTCTTTTCATTTACTTACAATAGTGTTCGTATTAACATTAGAATATGATATATGAGGTAATAGATTTTAGTGACCGAAAGAATTCTAATAACGACGACTGTCAGTAATAACCATATATACATGCATAATTTGTCTTGATACAAAATGTATATGCACACAATCATTTGTACCTACGTAATATTGTAAGGCTAACTGTATGTTTACTTGTATAGAGTTAAAGAACATAATCACACACCTGTTTGATTCATTCTCCCCTGTTCTAAGGCCATTGATTAATTTGTTTAACATTTTATACATTAACTACGATATTCTTCAAATTTGTGTGGTCTCAACTGAAGAGATTTTACAGTTTATTTTTGTTCGTAAATTCATTGTAGACTAACTAAGAGTAATCACTTCTTTTCAATAAATGAAAAGGTGACCACTTTACAGAATAGCTCTGTGGAATAAAAAAATAATTCCTTATAACTGAAATATATTAGTACAATCGAACTTTTTTGATGAATTATAGTGGACTGATGTTATTATCTGATACAGTGAAAAAAATGGTTATCTCCCTAATAAGCATAGATATTATTATTATTTCGTTTACTGGTATATGTGTTTTTTTTTATAATTTATCTCTTGGTTTTTTATTTGTATTAGGTTTTATTCTCTAAGTAAATAGAAATAAACTAATGTAACATTTAATTCCTTTGATTTTCCCCCTAATGAGTATTTTCTTCCTTTTTAGGTTGGCAGCTTTTTAGTTCGCAACAGCGCTACTCATCCTGGTTGTTGTGCTTTATCTGTTCGAGTACCAAATAAGGATAATCCGATAGGAATAACCCATTACTTGATACAAAAAACGAATCGAGGCGTTCGGTTAAAGGTCAGATATTTTTTTCCCAGTGTATATCTTAATTGTTCATATTTTTCAGTAGCATTGATACTTTTTAAAACATTGTTTTGCTATGATATCCGAATTTATTAGCTGTTAGTCAATTCATATTTGCGTTTCATCCGGCAATAAAACCTACTTCTATTACAAGTAATGAATTATTAATAGTCGGTTTTCTTATTAATGTGATTCAATGGACATACATGATAATAAGTATTGGTTGAGTTTATTTGGAAGATTCATTGTCTTTCAAATGTTTTTCGCACTTTCAGGTAGCAATACAATGTTCCATATTTTGTCAGTGATCCTTTCAACTGTTATTACAAGAGTGGTTACATTTTGAAATAATAGATGAAAAACCGTGTAACATTTATTCAGTCTAATTATTTAGGGAAATCTTGAAATGGTATCCATATTGTACATACTTTCTGGGTCTACTTCTTTAAGATTTACAGATCAATAGCATCTCTTAATGTATATATTAATGAGTTAAGATTGTTTGAAATTAGAAATCAGTGTTAACCTGAGAAAATATAGTCATTTAACCAAAGGGCTAATTAAAGATTAATATGTGCACAGAAGCATGCATTTGTGGTGAACTTTGAACTATTTTCAAGTATTTAATTAGCCTCTTTCATATTTGAGTCTGTCTTATCGAAATAGTTTACACTCAAGTAGTGTGACAAACTTTTAACCTCATTGCAATTTATACATGTGAGTCTAATCAGTAATGTTTGAGTTTCTTGTATTGTATATAGTTATCATACACTCTTTGTGTTCTCCTAAATTTTGATCTCCTCCTTGTCTCTTTTTTTTTCTCTTCCTAAATTTATTTTACTGTATTATACTCTTATTACCTCTACCACTACGGGATTTGAATTGACCACTGCATCTCTGTGCTAATGTGGTGTGGGAACTCGAACTGATGTACGTACGTACGAAGTTCTACGTTGTTACTGACTGACTGACTGACTATCAAGTTTTACATCTTTGACATCAAATATTATTTACACTAATCAATTTAATTTAAATGCGATTCCGTATAATTAATGAAGCATAGAATGATCAAAATAAACAAGATGGGTTGTTTCAGTGAAAATATCTGTTTTCAGTAAATTCGCTCAGTGAATTCCTTCTGTTTATTTAGGAAAAAAATATACTATAACGTAATAGTTACTTGTTAGTAATATAGTTAGATAACATTACATAAATATCGTACAGGGTTTCGCCTTATGTTTGATAGTCTAACTGTTCCTTAGAGTAACGTCTGGATTATATTTAATTATTTTCGTTCATTTAATTTTGAAATTACTCTTTAAATTATATTTACATTAATAACTGAATGGTGTAACTAATTTTGCCCGGGGGAAGTTTTATTAATATATTGCTTAGATTTATTTTAATCACTTTTCTCAGAACTGAAATATCAGTGATAGTATTATATATGCCATATATGTGTCAGGTTCTACGTTGCATATGACTGACTAACTAAGAATTTCTTCATGAATTCAAGAATCCCTGATAGCTGAAAAGTTTTATGTTGCTGATTTACACAATGAATTTATTATATCCATTTGTTATACATATATTTTTCACTTTATAACTCAATTACATAAAGAAATCAAATTTTCAATACTTAAATTCATTCATGATAATAAACGTTTTATCCATGTACCTGTAACTTGATAAAAGTTTTTTTTATTGAGACAATGCTAATCTGATCATTTTGTATGGTGTTTTCTTACATTGATATCTAGTTTAAGCATTTAGTTTAAAATATGCTTGTCTCTATTTTGTAGCATTAGATTTGTTCGTATATTGATAAGCTTACATTAATAAATGTATAGAGCTTACTTTTATATAAAATTTATCTTTCAAAGGGTTTGGACAAGGAGTGGCCATCCCTACAAGCTCTTGTTACTCATTTGACTGTCATTCCAGAGATGCTTCCATGTCCTCTCAAGCTTCCACAATATACTGCTAATCCCATCTTTACACAGTTCGATCCGCAATTGACAAATGGCCCATCAAACGAAATTCCCAAGCAACATCGTAACTATAACATCAAATCATCACAAACAGAAGTGGGTGAAAATAATCGTGTCACCAACTCAGATTTATCTAGTCACCATCCCCAGCGTACACTTCATTCAGTCGCAGATCTTCCTTGTAGACCAGTCCTACCATCATGTGCTACTATTTCTCATTTCAGCCCTGCTAATCCCTTTGACCAAAACTTATCATCCCACAACATGATAGCAAAGGATCCACCTGTACTTGGCAGTTATCAAGTATCAAATTTATCACAATGCAAATCACAAATGCCTAATTGGTTAATGAATCAATTAAATAATGATAATAATCATTCGTCAACTAAAAATTCAGCAGACAGTTCAAATCAAATATCACTGAAAACAGATTGTATTCATTGGAAGCAAAACTCCGTAGATTTAGCATGTATTTCTCAGTCTGAGTACATAGATGAACAACGGTTTATGAATGAAACTAATAACAGAAATAATCGAAAACTAAGTTATACAACAAATGATTTATCAAAAAATAATGCTTGTTTATTGCTAGATTACGCAGAAGAAGATGAAGATTATCAACGTTTGTCCGATTTTTCTTCCATATTGGCTGATTTAAATCTTGTGCATGAAAGACCTTTGACTAGTTGTTAGTGGGACTTTTCTAATCATACTACTTACATTATACTATTTGTTAATATTTATTCTTTATTAAATTCATTTCAGCCACATCATCCATATTCTATCATAGCTACTTTCATAGTTCATAATTTGTATATTGAAGAAGTAAAATGGTCTACTTACGATATAACTTTATTTATTTATTTCTCTTTGAATCACTGAATTAAAATGTTTGGTAGTAGTTTTTTATTATGTACAATGGTTCAAACTACCATCACCATAATTCTCAATAAGCTCACATGAAATTGTATCTGTTTTTACATGAATACAAATATTAATTTGTTTATCTCATATCTTTCATTTGTCTTATTTGCCATTCCTAATGGTTGTTATTACATGAATGTCAGGTTAGGTTACTTAAATTATTTTGCTACCTCTGTTGGATAATATTCTGTAATTGGTTTCTTATTGTTGTTTTCGCTGTGTAATATATAAACTGGGAGACTTATTTGCCATTCGTCTTAGTTAGATCTTTGCCTACATATAATATATACAACCACGAGCATAAACTTTTATAAATATATCGTGTTCTAGTTCTTATCATTATTACAATGCATAAAAGAGATTTTCTAATTTGGCCTTCTTTATTTGTATGCAAGTCTATTGTTTTCGTTTCGTTTTTTTGCTTACTTCTCTGTTGTCACTTCAGATCATACAAAAAACTCATTATGAGACAATGACAGAATGAGATTCCTCAAAAATATATATAAACACAAAATCCCTTTGTTATTTTTGACAATATTTTACCTTGGTAACGGTAGTTACAACTATATACAACTTATATTCAGGATAACGTGTTACGTGAAACTAAACTGGAGACGTCGACCACTGTAATTTTGTTTATTGACTTAAGGCTAATGTTGTCTTCTTCATGCGACCAAAACAATGTATTGCTCCACAGTTTAAAGGAAGCACATGGTCAAGTAAAATATCCCCTCTGGGTAAGAAAATTAAGTTTTTATAAATCTTCTAGTAGGACGTTACAATGTTAGTAATAGGGCACTATGCTGACAGAAGTTCTCAGTATTTGTTTTTATGAGTCGACCTGCATTTATAAACAAGTCTTCTAACGTATGAACTTCGATATATTGAAATATGGATCTCAGCTAGCAAGCGCAAGTTTAAAGTCGGTATTCTATTACGACAAACTGAATGGTTCCTGTTCACAACTAACCAGTGAAAAACTTCAAATTTGCTCTCTCCTCAAATGACAGTTAACCTTGGTGCATCTCAATATATTGATTAGAAATATTTCATATACACCTTCCTTAAATTAAAGTCTCCTTACCTTTGACTTACATCGTTTGCATGTAAAATGACAACATTCTACAAAGTTGATATCAACCAATATGCAAAGGATAAAAACGAAAAAAACTATAACGCCTGTTAAGTCAATTCTCACCTAAATTTGGGGATAAGAACTGACATTATATTATACTCAGAAAGATCCTCTGCGGGTAATCCTTGATGCTATAAGGCACAGGGTTTGTCAGGATTCTGATTGCAGTGACAGTTATTAACTAGATATAGTTGTTTATCTCATAAACTTGCCACTCTTCATATTCAACTGAGTCATAAGTTTCCTTTATATAAGAGATGTTACGATATAGTAAAAAACAGCCGCACGGACGGGAGTTTTTTGAAGATGGTCTTATCGATTCAGTAATGATATTACACACCATTAAAAATTTTGCTACAGCTTTAGTAGTCATCAAACAGAGAGAGCACTGATATTCAAGGATGTAGATTTTACCAACCAGCAGTCAAATACGCACCGGACCGTTGTTACTTGTGGTACAGATTAACGTAAATCTATTACTTTTGCTATGCGAGCATGTTTCATATCCATATGACTTGACATCACATAAAATACCATGAAAGGACGGATGTTTCGAACACGTGGAAACTCGGTCAGAGTAATGTACCAATGTGGTTACTAAGCCAGTCATACGAAATGTATGATTCGGAACATATATACGTGGGTTTAATTTGTTACATTGTATCAACACATTGAGATGTAATTACAAAGGTAGTACTATTGATAACAATACCAGTAGTAAAAAGGACCAGGCTTAGATAACGATTCGAGAAAAAAAGCGGAAGATTGGTCGGTTCAAGGTTGATTTCGGAAAAGTGCGACCAGGAAATTGCTTTCTTCTATTGCTCTCGGGCTATTCAATGGTAATATCTTTCAATAAATCAGACCATTTACACTAATAACTTGAGATTTTCCGTCATTAATGCACCAATACTTCAGAATTTAAATGAAGTGTGCAAGCAGTGACTATACACTTCAGTAATGGGTAGTCTAGTGCTCCAATACTTTTAGGAATTACGTTGAACCTACCAAATAATCACCTTGATTGATAACTCATCACTGTCACTGAGTGTTAAGATTGTGCATTCACCTCTTTATAACTAGATTACTAGGAGCTCACATTTATGGAACTGAGTTTTACATACGATGTCCTAGGACGAATTCAATTTAAATAATAGTATTTCGATTAAAATGATTCACCTAGTTTCCTCCATTCCCAGACAATGTGAATGGAACATTGAAGTAGGTCCCCCAATTCTAGCAGAAGTTGGAAAGGCTATAGCTAATCTGAAACGAGGAGGGGCAGATGGATTGGCTCCAGATGTCTTTAAGGATAGTGATCCAATTTTAGCGATTAGGTTGACCAACATATTAGACAAGATCTGGGAGTTGGACGTTATCCCATCTGACTGGTCACAATTACTTATTGTCCCAATACATAAGAGAGGGTCAAAATCATCCTGTGACAACTATAGAGGGATTAGTTTAACTAATATAGTATCTAAAATACTAGTCTCGATAATTATCGGATGCCTAGCTAAGACTCGTGAACTGCAAACACGAAAGAATCAAGCTGGCTTCAGACCTGGTCGTAGCTGCATCGACTACATATTCATCATTCGTCAGGTTCTAGAACACAGGCATACTTATCGGCGTCCGACAATGGTGGTCTTTCTTGACTTAAAAGCAGCATTTGACTCGGTAGACCGCGAGATTCTGTGGCAGTGTCTGTCATTGAAAGGCGTACCTCAGAAGTACATAAACCTTGTGAAGGCTCTTTACTCGAACACTACTAATCGAGTCAGAGCTTATGGCGAACTGTCATCTGCTTTTGCAACCTTAAGTGGTGTCCATCAAGGCTGTCCACTTTCTCCATTTTTGTTTAACTTCATCATAGACCTACTGATGGAAATAACGTTCTCGTCGACTGAATTATCGGGTATTGATCTCCTTCCAGGAGGTCCACTTATCGACTTAGAATACGCAGATGATATAGTCCTGTTTGGTGAAGACGCTGATAAAATGCAGTCTTTTGGTAACACTAAGCAACAATGCCAGAATGTTTGGAATGCGCTTCTCTCCCTCTAAATGCAAGTTGTTGCTTCAGGACTGGTCTGCATCAACACCTGAACTAAGGATAGGGAGTGAAGTAGTCGAACGCGTTGACAACTTCATTTATCTTGGAAGTCTGATCAACCCTAATGGGCTGGTGTCTGAAGAAATCTCAGCACGGATTCGAAAAGCTCGTTTGACTTTTGCCAACTTACGTCACCTATGGCGAAGACGAGATATCCGTCTATCAATAAAAGGACGAGTATACTGCGCGGCAGTCCGTTCTGTTTTAATTTACGGCAGCGAAACATGACCATTAGGAGTAGAAGACACTCGTAAGCTACTAGTATTTGACCACAGATGCCTTAGAAATATTGCTGGCGTCTGCTGGGATCACCGGGTAAGTAATAGTGAGGTTAGACGCACTGTATTAGGGAAGAGATTAAAATCACTTCATATCTTTCTACGAACTAATTCTTTCTTCCTGTACTATGTCCTTATTGCAATCTTTCTTTTATATATTACCACCTCTGAATTAACTACTTTATGAATCCGGTGTCCATCTTATTGTGTTAATGAGGTATGGCAACTTGGACCGATGCATTTATGTGCCTGGTCCTACGTTGTAGCTGACTGACTGATTCACCTAGTTTCCAAGACTTGTTTTCTATTCACCTGGATTTTCCAGCACCCATAACCCTAACTCGAATGATTCTAGCTACCTCACATCACATGACTGTATAGCTTCAAATACAGTATTGTTATTTACTTCATAAACACTACGATCCCATGCATAAAACTTAAAGACTCGTACTCATCATTTTTCTTTTCCGCCGTTAAAACCACCTGATCGGTGTCAACTGAGTATATTTTATTCATATCTTAAATTACAAGGGACTTTCTTATTTTTTAAATCAAGGTATGCGATAATAGTAAGTGTAATATATAGCTCCTGATAAGGATGGGACATTTAATACACAGGTAATAGGAGCTGTATTCACATAATGGCTAGTAACAAGTACATGTCATATGCCAACCTCTGTCTCTATTAGATTACAAGTAGATGTCTATAAATAATCACGGTCCAATTATGCGGTCGTCCACTGGATACATATTATTGGCCTTATTAGAAACTAAACAAGTGAAGGCAAAAGTTACACTATGCACGATAAGAGAAACTTATAGCCATATTCTGAACGGTATAGTATTTGGAGATTTACTAAGGCGATTTTTGGTAAGATAATAGCCAGTTATTATTTAAAAGCAGATACCATATGCATTCACCCATACAGGCTACATGTAAGGACACTTGGAAATTTTACGCTTCCGATTTTTGAGAGCTTAGTTAGAAGTCTGTCATAGGATCCTATGGTATACAATGACTTCACTTACCCAATACATGAATCTCAATATACCAAAGTAGCTAAATACAGTCTCACTTATAACCCTTTTACTTAATCCTGCTTAACTAAAAACTGGAAAATATTGCTAATGGGCAGACCCAACTGAACTAGTAAATGTACTACACAGATTTAAATAACATAACACATGTTATTTCACAAACGGTAGGGACCATACATCCACAAAATATGAGATGTAGAGAAAGTAATTTACTGTTGGAATGAAAGCGAATCCCTTTAATGCACCAAAAGCCGACCATCAATTTTTTTCTACTGCATACTTTACCAGTAAAATATTACTCTTTTCACACATCCGTTTGACTCATTATAAACTACATTCCTGAATGCGAAAACATCAAGCCAAAACAATTTTAGGAGTCATTCTAATATCAAAAATGCCTAGGGTAGGAAGACTCAATAAACAAATAGAATCTAAGTAACGTATGTCGCTGAAGTAGAAATCAGTTGCGTAAGACAATGTCAGTAAAAAACTTTGTATAAAATACAGCAGCAAAACTAAACGAGTAATACGATGTGAAATTTGGATTATCCGCATTGTTACTGCTTTTCAGCAAATCAGAAGTCAATGCTCAAAAAACCACTGGGTAAGTTAAGGTTTTGATGATACTGTTTTAGTTCATTTGAATTTACTTAGTTTCAACCTTTCCATATGGTCTTCTTATTCGGAACTGTCATCAGTGTGGAACCGAAAGTCACCAAGGTGTTGAATACCCTGTTTGAAGATTACATTTTTATAACATCTCCAAGACTTACACTCATCTTTGGGTGTAACTAGAATACCATTCTCCCCCGTCATATTAAACTGCAGCTAACATGGTGAAACACTTATCCAAGATGCGAAATTTAATAATGTGCAGTCACAGAAGACGGTTTCTTAAAAATATTTTATTTTCTGGAACCTAACACGAATTCGTTGAAAGATTATTTTTAAAAATCATCCAAAAATTCAAGACTTGACTAATAAAACAATAATACAACTAGGTAACTGACTTCAAATAAAACTGTTAGGGCATAAATTACAATGAAGACCATAATTTACACTAGTATGTACAGAAGTAACCCAACTGATTAGCAATAAACATATTTAAGAGTAGTTACTGAAAGCTTTTGTAGGTTATGCTTTTTGTATGGAAAATGGAAAGACTAGAAATGAATGTGAGCATTTGAAGATGATCAATAAAATCGCCCTAACAACAAAATGCTGATGCAAGCATCGAAAGACAAAGGTAATTTGGAACTAAGTTTAGGAACATAAATAGATCTCGATATTTCTGTTGATATGCATTAGTACCATGAGGTGTATCTTCACAGTTCTGTTTCAAAAGATAGCCAATTTCGTAATTTAGGAGGTTGTGACATTGATCTGTGTGTATGTTTAGGATGTTCACCTTTCTTTATCAATGTGCCAGCGTCTCTTAGCGTTGAGTTACTGAATACAAGTGGATGTTGGAAAATGTCTCGGTTAAGGTATCGCCCATAGGACTCGCTGGATATAATCTGATAAGTGGATTGTGAAGCCATAGGTAGACGTGATCCTAACATTCCAGAGAAAAAAAGTGAGTTTGACCCCGCCTTGGAAGATCTAAAATCGTCAGATGGAAATTGTAAACTGCTTTGTCTTGGAATTGGATGAGTATTTAACCGTTGACACATTCTTCCTGAAAGAATAGGTGATATGTTGCTTGTGGGTAGAGAGTTACTAACCAATGAATTGGAGTTTGAATTAGTAAAATAAGATGGCGAATTTCTACCAAGAGCACTTATATTCTCTTTGGTTACCCATGATGTACTAGATGGTTTATTTAGATTGTTTGCATCGAGTTGATTGTCATAATAATAATAGAAATAATGATGATGATATTGTTGTGGAGACGTATTCTTCCCTAAAATGGTCCCATAGTTCGGGTTCAATATGGATGAGGTAGCATTTGGAATTACTGGCGAACGTATACGAGTGGTATTATTGTGTACACATATTGAAGAATTTTGATCGACTTGAAAATTCCTTATAATTTGTGGTGGTTTGACTAACCATCTTTTAGCGGGAGAGCGCTGCAACTGAGCACCAACAGAAGAGGAACGTGATTGGCCAAATATTTTCCGTTTGTTTATATTGGGACGACCAGAGATCATTTCCATCTTTGAAGAACCAAAACTTTTACCTTTTTCTTGGGAGTCATTATCTAAAGGGGTACACTTTTCATGTTTCGTGCTAGCACATAAACCAACTCCTTTATTCGAGCTGGGTTCAAATTTTTCAATGAGTGATGTTAGTTGATTATGAACAGAATTTTCCGTAACAGGTTGAGATGTAGGTATATGAGTTGTTCTAGATGATAGGGATAACGTACTCCACTGATCAGAACCACTTATTGAATGCACAGAGGAGACTTGACAACTAGGATGATTAGAAAATGAATCTGATACGGTGGGACGGATTGACAAATTAGATCGACTAACATTATTTTCCGAAATATTGTTCAAACATTTATTGGGTTTATTGACTCTGAGAGTGTACGAAGGTTTGGCACGCTGAAATACTGGTAAAGGAGGGATCCCATTGACACTTCTATTGGGTAATATCATATCAAGAACTTGGGTGGAACTTGGTGGACGACTATCACTTCCAAGAGATCCAGGAGAACTATCAGAACCTGCAGATCCGTAACCTGAAGAGCCCTGGGAGAGGAACTTATTGGACTTTCCCTCTAGTAGGTTAATAAAATTTTCTGAACTCTGATCAACTATTGTATTTCGTGTCTTAAAAAAATGAGGATGTTGACCAACAGAAAACTGTTCACCAATTGTAAATGATGAGAGTTGAGGGGAAATATTTTCATTAACAAAATGGTCAGAAGTTACAGAAGATTTATGAATAGTGAACTGTGTTTGCTCGTTAGAATCAGAATTTACTTTAGGTGCTGCAACTAGTGTAACGTCTACCTCAACTTGATTATTTATATTTTCCCATGATGCTTTTTTTGAATCGGAAGATTCATCAAGAGAGATATTACTCACACCCCCGGAAATATCTGGACTAAGAGTGGTCACTGATTTGGGAGATTCAATTGTGCCAGTTAAATAACCCATAGAGGATGTGATGCTTGTAGGAGTTTTGCAATCCCAATTATTGGTCTTCGTTTCATCTAAACACTGTAAGTGTGGTAATGGTAATCCCCTAAGCCACTCTAGTACATCATGAGGCTCCTTGTTGTGCCGAACAAAAAATCCAGTACTCATTAATGAGCGATATTTTGGGCGCTGAGTATGGTCCTTTGTTAAGCTAAAAATGAAAAAGAGGATAATACAGTAAATCCCAAACAAATCAGACTAATCAAAGAGGCAACCAAATGCTTACTTTTCCATTTTTACAAGGATAGAAACATAGAAATTCTACTGAGTCGGTCAAAAATTTGAGCAAGAAGGGACCTGCTTACCTCTAATTTGTTCTGCTAATACCGACTATATTTTTGACGTGAAATATATCAAGAAAAAAAGATGAGATACTAAGTTTATTCGACAAACCTATACATCACAGCCAACAATGGTTTTTTCATTCTTTTAGAGCAGAAATTAGACTTTCGCCGTCTAAAGCATACGAGCGAGCATACACACGCTGATTATATGTTTACTTTAATTATGTGATGCAGTGAATAATAAGGTATACACTAAGTAGAGACACAGTCAAAATTAACAAAGCCTGACACAAATGTGAACCAACCCCACTTCTTACACCACATTTGCAAATCGAGGTGAACTTAACAAGATGAATAATGGCATCAATGACAGCGACTGAACATTTTGGAATATAGCTCGAAAAGAAGATGAATTAGAGGAATAAAAAGTAAGAAATAATATTAATGCTCAAGAATTAAGGGTGAATATATCCCTACCAATGTGATCGATTCAGTGATACTACTCATCGCAAACTACTGATTGTGACTATCGTGTGCATCCCATCTTTTTCGTGTATGTTCACTCTACTCTATCATACATCATGTAGTAAGAAACAAAATAATTATTTGAATTTATTCATCAGCACTTATAAACTTTTACAGGACGAAACAGTTTCAATTGATTAATTATTCCAACACAACCACTTACATAGCTAGCTAACACAGCTATTCAGTTTCCAAGTTTGTGTTGAGATTAGATGGTGGTTGGAGGAAGTCGACAGGAAACCCAGGATCCGGGTTTCGTGCTGCTTGGCACTCGTCAGCCAGGTGTACCTGTAATCTTGAGGGAACTGGTGCTCCCTGACGGATTCGATCCCGTGTTACCCAGCTTCATGGTCAGAGACGTTACCACTGAGCAATCTGGGCCGCGACCGACCTCCTGTAGGACTGAGATGTAATCACAATTGATAGATCACTGGGTGCCAAGTAGCACGAAACCCGGGTCCAGGGTTTCCTATCGACTACCTCCAACCACCATCTAATCTCAGCATAGTGCGCGCAGTGTCGAGTCACCTACACTGGTGGCCACATTGCAACATGATCGATAACATTCGGTCTGCACTAATAAGGACTTGAAAAAATGACATTGATCACCACTCAGTGATCAATCAATTGTGAATTTTCTGTGTCTAACACTGTGGCACGAAAATAATTATAACTTTCTTACATCCAAACGTACACTGAAATTTTTGAAGACAAAGGTTACAATCAACTCTTAAAGCAGATTTATCGACGTGTCATATCCAAATAAAGAACTGGAAATGCAGATAGAGATAAAGATAGAATCATAAGTACTTCCTGTGTAAAAGTGGTCTAGAATTGAGGTGAGTGTATAGTATCTAACTCGAACACTATTACTTTGAATACAAAATCTTTCAAAACTTGCATCGACCGTAAATGAATTCGAAAATGGCTTTCGGTAAATACAAAATACAAGACCGCGGGACTTACCTGTTGTACATAGTTAACATGACTTACCTTTTTAAAATGATACAGATAAGATGAAAAAGGATAAAAAGACAAGATAATTAGCAAAATATGTAACATTTAGAGATGACCAAGACTTCATGGCAATAAACAAAAAGCAACAGACTTACCATAGCTCGACGAATTGACGGAATGCAGGGGTAAAAGGTATATGGTGAGGTAACGATGGAGGTGGATCTGAAATTATTTTAGTCATAATAGCAAATTCAATATGAGTCCCAGTGTACGGAAAAGATCCAGTTGCCAATTCCAACAATGATATTCCAAGTGACCAAATGTCTGCACGAACATCATATGTTGAGTTGTTAAGACGTTCTGGAGCCATATAACCAGTACATCCCGGCTGTCGCGAACGGGCAATAGAATCCTTAAGAATTCCACTTATTCCGAAGTCACATAACTTAATGACACCTTGGTAACTCAAGAGCATATTAGATGGTTTAACGTCTGGAACTTATTAAAATTAGAGCATTACCTCTGTGCATAACGTTATGTTTCCGTTTCAAATAGTCCAAAGCAGTGGTAATCTTTAAAAAAGTTAAAGTGAACTGAAACAAACTTACAGCAACCGTAACTTTCCCCAAAACCTTTTCTGGAAATGGACGATGAAGATCATGATATAGCTTATCTAAGCAGGTTGACATGACTTCCATGCATATCCAGACATCACCCTGAAGCGTAAAAAGTGGTAAGATGAACTCACTCCAGAGAAGAATATTCCATAGCACTCGACGATATAAGAGCAATCGAAACATTTTGTAACAATATTTAGATCCATCATAATACGCTTATTTTCCTCTTCATACGTAGATGACACACGCATTTGCTTAACTGCCATTACTATATTAGGCTTGGTACGATGTCGCATTTTGTACACAGAGCTACACGTACCAGAACCTAGACAGCCCTCATTCGCGAAATCATCTGTTTTAGCTAGTAAAACCTAAAACAACAATAATAAAAACATCCATTACCTTGTTTCCAAAGAGTAGGACGCCACTCCTTTTGGCAATTTCTTTTTGCAAAGATTCAAAATCATATCTATGCTGGATCAGATTTAACGACGCCACAAACCTATCGTTTTGTCCATTAGCATTAACGGGAGCATCTTGCTGTCGACTCTTTGAATGAGTTGCAGGAGATTCAGAACGTTGTCTTTCACACAACACTACACAGAATGTATAATTAATGATGTATGGAAAATACAGGCTGTTGGACGCTGGAAACGAGCGACATTTCTGCGTGGAGAACCGACCGATGTTGAATTGCAAATATCATATCCCGATCTATTCTCAGAAGTGACCAAAAACTGCGAGGCTGAACGACCAACCGAGAGTTCATTTGACATAGGTAGACTACTGCGCCATAAGAAATTTAGCCGTTAATGGGTTTAAACAACATTGATCATATCGTAAGTATTTTATGAAAGAAATGACAGACACCACGCCCACAGAAAAGATCATTTGCCTATCCGTGAGTTATTGCATCAATGAATTTAGGTGATATAAAACAATAACACATATGTTATGCAGGCAATCAACAATACAGATATATTCAGTGCTTTAAAACTAATAGTAATTACGCAATATAAATAAGGTCATTTTACTGAGAAAAATTGGATTCTACAATCTTCCTGCAAAAATGATTGAATTCCATATTCATCTTTCATTTCAGTTTCATACCAGAGACTTGGGGATCACCAAAAGCGTTTAAGATGTCATAGATTTCCAGGGCTTGATAACGCTTTTGTCCGTAATCGAAAGACACCAACACAGTCAAATAAAAATTCAGAAATAGAGGGTTTTGATGAACTATCTTGAAGATAGTCGATGTGTCGAGGAATATATGAACTGAGCTTCTTGTTGTGAGGAATGTGTAGTTCTGAGCACCCAATCGTGATATTATGAAGGTGCTGGGCCAAGAGACTTCAACGAGGGGTTTTTCAGTAAAACTGTTGAAGTAATTATCAGTGCCCAAGACTTATGGAACTATTTACTTTTGTAACCTATTCATTGCTGCACCTCTATTACATCAGCTAGTCAGTAATGACTGAATATCGTTGTTGATATGACAGAAATAATAAATTCTACCAAAGACATTTAAAAGCACTTGACATACAACAGCACTATCGATGATAAATTCCATTGATCTGCTGCAGCCGGCTGCTTTCCAATACATGAGTAACCTATCATGAAACCAAGAGTGCAAGGATGTGTATCTTATTTTTAAGCGATAATCAGTCCGAGGACTAAACATTTGAGGTTCTGTCACTGGGAAGCGCGGGTTATGATTCTTTAATGCTTGAAAAATAGATTATTTTTGTTAGCCTCCTTTGATGAACGAATGATGTGTACTGACATCCACCCGTACAAGATCACCTGCTGTTTTTAAATGGTAACATGCTAAGAGGTGTTTACCGTAATTTAGCTGGTATATGGTCAGGTCCTGTGGCTTTCCCCGTTTTTGATTTGTATGATGGCCATCCTGATGTCTCAGGTCGTTGGTGAAGTAACACCTGTAGGAAGGTCTGGTTATGCTGCTTTGATGTCCGCAGGGCCCTATAGGGCTATTCTATACAACAGTCCCTTAAAGTGTTTTACCTAGCCGTTCGCTGTTTTTGGATCTCAATAACCGACCTGCCTTCTTTATTGTCTGGCCGTTAGGTTTACTATATTTTCCAGCTATTCCACTGTCATTGATTGTCCTTCCACCTACTTCTACTTGTCGAATATAATGTTCTTCCTCACTCTATGTTTGCTCCTGTGTATTCGAACCATGCCTTGATTCACACTAAACCTATTCCACTGCCATTAAACACTGTTAAATATTCCGCAAGTATTCATATTTTGACAACGCCTTAACCAATAACACCTTTTATAATCGATGTATGTTAAATCATCTAAGTCAGAGGCGAAGAGACTTGAAGATATATTTTATAGGCTTTCGATATATCGGGAAGTGATCAGTATAAGCTTGCTATTATTTATAAATGTGTTGCACGGAGTACTCATTCATGATCTGGTGAGGATGCCTGACCGAGTCCCTTCAGCTAAATGAGTCCGTTAAAACTAACGCGTTCGGCACCAAATATCGAAGACTTGTAGAGTGATTGGTTTTGAAGATTTATTTATCGCTACAGCTCACTCCTCTCGTGGTGAAATGGTAGTGATCCTAAGACGCGGCCAGACACAAGTATAAACACAACAAGTTTGTCGTTGATAAACACTCTTTTGACAGCTTACTATGCTCAGTAGCGTCTAGCCCTCTTTCCTCACTATGAGAGACCATGTGGTGCAACATAGTAGGGAAATACAAGTACAACCAAATTTTTTATCCATCGTAACCTTCGTCGGTTTTTCACCTTTTCCAGCCGTTCTGGATAGGAAAAAGATATATAAATGCATGCCGATTTAAACTCGTATACGCGCAAAAACACAAAACAGGAGAGAAATCGAAAATAAACTCACATACATGCGTTTCTCAAGCATGCATTAGCTTAAAAACGATTTTTTCAGAGTGGTTTTATGCTCTTATTTTTTGCAAAATAAAAGTATACACGTGTGAACAAGTATATTAGCAACGAAATAATTTTTCGTTTTTTTTTGGAAGAAAAATGTAAACATGCATGTAAACATATTAAAAATAGATTTTTTGTGACAGTGATATAAAAATACATTCGAAACTAACCAATATGTAATGTAGTATCTTACGTGTAGTAATCGTTTAAGTGCTCTGTAAATCTCACTCCTTTTCCAGAGTGCGTTGTTTTGAATCGGTTGTCAGATATCCCAGAAGTATCATCATGATTGTTCGTTATCAGGTGAAGTATCGTTATCGTGAAACTTGTGTCTTATGATTGCACCGAAAAAAATTAGATATGGTCAGGGTTTACATCTAAATACGCGGCTTTGAGACGATCGATACTGATGCTATCGTTGGTTCCGTTCCTATCGATTTTATAGTACTTGGGTTCACGCTGAAGAACTTTGAATATTCCTTTGTACGTCGCTTTGAGTGGTCATCGAAGTGAGACGTGAAGTAGAAAAGATGTGTACTATATCGTAGGTCAGGTTGAACGAAAACAGCAGTTGATTGAGGTCGAGTGGAAACAGGTTTAACTGAACACATTGCGTTTGTAAGCCTGATCGTTTAGGAGTTTAGATCCATATTCATCGAAGAAGATGAGGGATCCACAAATTCTTCTGGAAGCCTGAGTGTCACTTCGTAAACGATTTTCACTGCACTGTATCCAATGTCAGCTTTTACTGTATTGTGAATACCAAGTATGACAAGTGTAAGAGCGTCGGTCCACTATCAAACATTTGTAGCTGAGTGTGTAGCTTTAGGCAGTCGGTGAAAGCGTTCTACCAACCCGTTTGCTTGTGGGTGGTAGATAGTCGTTCGGAATTGTGTTATGCTTAATAGTGAAGTCAGACAACGGAAAAGTCCACGGTTTCCGTGATAGTTGAAGGACAACTGTAATCTGATACACACCGTTCGACGAAGGTGCGGTTTACTGTTTTAGTATTGATGTCCTTGATGGGTACTGCTTCTGGTCATCGAGTGAAACGGTCCACGTAGGTTAAGAGGTAAGAGTATCCACTTGAATCTGGTAAAGGTCCCACCAAATCCAGATGAACATGGTTGAAACGAGAGTCGGGAGTTTTAAATGAGCCTAAGGGACATATTCGTGTCTAATCACCTTGGATTACTGGCAGCCTACACAGTAATGTGCCTACTCCCTCACATCTTTATTCATACCAGGCCAGCAAAACCGTTTTGCTATAAGCTTGATGGTCTCATGGACACCTGGATGAGAAATTTTGTGCAACGTATCGAAGAAATTGAGTCGATAATCTATCGGCACGGTTGGGCGATCCCTACCTGTAGATGTGTCACAAAGTAAGGTTTCCTTACCTGTTCCCATCTGTTTATTGCACAGCTTAAGTGTTGTTGACGATTATTCGTGCTGAAGAACAGAGTCTTCCTTTTGAATCTGAGCGAGTTTAAGATGGTTGTTTTTTGGACACTGTTCAAGGAAGTCATACGAGACAGAGCGCCTGCTGCTATATTGTTTGCTCAAGAAATGTTTTGTGTATCTGAAGTAAACCGTGAAATGTAGACTAGTTGTTGAAACTCTCGATATGAGTGCTTGTCTGAATACGAACTTAAAGAGAAGGTAAGAGGTTTATGTTCGTCAAAAAGTAAATTCTCAGCCTTCTACTGAGTGTTGAAAGTGCTGTAAAGCACAATACATAGCTAGGACTTCCCTACCGAAAGTGCTATACCGCGATTCGGGTCTAGCAAACGTCTCGAGAAAAATGCCAAAGGATGCCGGGAGTGGCTAACCCATTGTCATAAGTATCCTCCGATTGCTGAGTCGGATGCGTCTACTGAGATACTAATGGGTGCTTCAGTATCCCGATGAACATGCATTGTTGCTTTAGCAATAAGTTCCTTAACTGTGAAGAATGCTTTTCGCGCGGTGTCGTCCGCATTGATGGGTTTCGCATTTCCACAAAGTTGGTTGATTAGCGGTATCATAAGTGACGCGCATTTCGGTATGAAACCTCCTTAGAATCTTACAAGGCCGTTAAACGTGAGTAATTGTTTGATGGTAGTCGGTTCTGGGTAATCCAGAATGGCCGCCACTTTGGTTCTAAGGGGCCGGATGCCTTGCGCATCGATAGTGTGTCCTAGGAAGTCTAATGAGTCAGTACCGATTTGGCATTCTTGAATGTCTACGGTAATGACATGTTTTTGTTGTCGGTTGAAAACAAGATCCAGTTGCTGGAGATGCAATTCTCTGTCCGAACTTGCTATTAGGCAGTCATCAACACACGCATGTACGAAGTTGAGACCTCGAAAAACGTCGTCTATAAACCTTTGGAATGTTTGAGCAGCGTTTCTTAGACCTTAAGGCATTCGCGAAAATTCATAGAGTCCGAAGGGAGTTATGATAGCTGTTTTCGGAATATCATCAGTAGCCATAGGGATTTGGTTATACGCTTTAACCAACTCGATTTTCGAAAAGACAGTTGAATATTTCAAGGTAGCTGTCAAATCGTGAATATGAGGCAACGAGTAACGATCGGGAATGGTTTACGCATCCAATCGTCGATAGTCACCAGTTGGACGCCAATCGTTGCTGTCCTTTTTAGGGACCATGTGCAACGGAGATGCATATGGGCTGTTTGACGGCCGTATGATTCCTAAGTATATCATGTGATCGAACTCGTTTTTCGCTAACCTTAGCTTTTCAGGGGCTAGTCGTCGTGCTTTAGAGAATACAGGTGGTCCTGTAGTCGTGATGTGGTGTGCAACGTTGCTGGTTACACACGGTAAGTTCGGTTGCGCTTGGTGAATCCCAGGATACTTATCGAGTAGTGGTGGATAAAGTGGGTCTATCGTATTGTGACTGGGGATAATCTGTAACCAGTAAAAGAAGTTACGCAAACGTACAAATTAGTGTTCCCGTCTACTAACCTCCGTTTGCGAGTATCGATGATCAGATTATGGTGTTGTAGGAGGTCCATACCAATGATTGGCATATAAACATCGGCAACAACGAAGATCCAGTGAATGGGTTTGCGTAAACTAATGTTAAGGTAAACGTACCTTCTACTATATGTGGCAATAGGCTTTCCGTTTGCCACCTATAAGTTTTAACCGATTCGTGAAGCTGATCGTTAGGATTTGTTGGGGGAACGCTAACTTCTGTGCTAGTGTCGACGAGGTAGCGAACTCTCGTTGTCACATCTGTGACGTACAACAGACGGCTATGTTCGCCGGCTACGGTTGCCGTTAACGCGTGCCGGCTTGGAAGTTTCTCGAGTTGTTTTTCCAGTCAGTCGTATTCGTGCTATGAAAATTGCAGGGTTATCTGCAATTTCTGGAAGACTTTCCATACAAATTATGATACCAGCACCAGTAGGGGTTATCCGTCTCTCGTGGTCTAGAGACAGATCGCTTACGTGAAATGCTTCTACGTGGGGTGCGTGATCGCTTACGGTCGTTACGAGAATTACGATAACGCGTAAGTGTATGACATAACTCGGTTATGTCATTCTGAGTCGTTTGAGGCTTTTCTTTGACTGAAAATACCTCGGTAGTAGAAGATTTCGTAATTTCTAAAATACGATCGGCAGATGCAATCAGCTCGTCTAGGGCGTTGTTCTGAAACGAGACCAGAACCGCTTGCACCTGTTGAGGAGGTTTAGACAAGAAAAGGTGTTTGAATAGGCCTTCGTCGAAAGTTCTTAGGCCTATCACTTCTCTCATTCTTTGCAACATGTCCGTCGCAGAACCATGCTGCAGGTCTATGTTATTAAAGAGTTGATCTAACCTTTGTCGATCAGTTAGGTCTCCTCGTTTAAGAATCGAACGTTTTAGGATTTCGTAAGGTTCAGAAACATCACTAGTAAACATACTAGGTGTTACGTACCCGTTGAATCCCCACGGTAGTGCCTTGAGTACTGCGAGGAATTGTGCACGTGTGTCGACCACGCCGTGCTTGTGGAAGTCGGCCTCTGTGTAGCAAAACCAGGCTTTGATGTTGTCTGGCCAGAAGGACGTAGCAGTAAATAAATCCCCCAAAAATAGCTCATTAAGTTTTTGACATTGGATGCTGACCACATTAATTTTCATGGACTTACCTAGTTGAAGGCGCTCGGTCATGTATCGGCACCAGATCACGAGTGAGAACGCCGTGCTCCACAACCCCTGCAATTGCTAGCCAGATTAGATCAGACGATCCTGGATATATTGATAGTCTACGAAATATATCTCCGAACCTCCTCGCTTCTGTCTTTTGATTTCACTTGCTTGGTAGGATTCATATTCGAAAGTATTACTGGTTGAAGCGTTGTCAAACTCCAAATACCCGTTGGATCTACAAGGGGATTAGTTGAACCGAAGTTGAGGACATAGTCTTCAACTTAACTGCCATGGGTGTCTGTTCAGTCATGGTGAAATATGAAGTACGAGAACGAACGAGTGAAAAAAATGTATCAAAAACACGGGAAAAATATCACAGTATATAAAAAATTAATACGAGGCAATAATATACAGAATTCCGATTTGGTGTGTCAGATCACGTCGGGCTCATCAATGAAGATGCCATAGGTATTTGGAGTTTGACGACGCTCTAATTAGTAACACCTACTACAAATCCTACTAACTAAGTGAAATCAAAAGATAGAAGCGAGGAGGTTCGAAGATATATTTCGTAGACTATCAATATATCCAGGATCGTCTGATCCAATCTGGCAAGCGATTGCAGGGGTTGTTGAGCACGGTGTTCTCACTCGTGATCTGGTGCGGATACATGACCGAGCGCCTCCAGCTAAATGAGCCCAGTAAAACTAACGCGGTCGGCACAGAATGTCGGAGACTAATAGAGGGATTGATTTTGGGGATTTATTTACGTTTACCCTCACCGGTCCTGGCATATTTATTATCCTTACAGATCTCTTCAAGCTTAAAAGAATGATTTGTGCCACACATTTTTGAACGAGCAATGCCATTATCTTAGATTTTTATTGTAAAATTTTCTGTCAGCTATGTTTGCTTTACACGTATTGAAGGATTGAAGAATTGTAAATTAGCGGGAGCGATTAATAATAACGATACAGGGTTAGTAGACGTTGGTCTTGGTGCTAACTTTTGACGTTATGGTGAACTTGCGCCGACTAAAACCCCTCTCCCCCCAAATTTTTCTAACAAGTTAATTAATTTCACCAGAACTTTAGTGGATTATGTTAATAAACAGAAATGCGTTGATTTTGAGGTGATCTTAATTCAGGTCATTAGAAATAAAATGATGCTTTGCAACCATGCTGGTGATACACACGAAAGTTACGTCTATAGCAGTATACAAAGTAGTCTTTATTGGTTGTTGTAGAGGTGTTCATCACACCAATGAAAACTTCAGTTTTCTTCGTTCTGAAATTATGTGATGCACGTATATTCCTAGGCTCGCAAACATCAGCTGAGACAGCGTTTGGAAAGTAGACTTTTCATCAAAACTTACGTACTTCATGTATCTGTCAGGTCAGAAATACCTAGGTTTTGTGTCATGTGGTCAAGCATGTCGTGTTTTTTATGTGCATAGTTGGTTCAACTCGTCACTACTTTTGAATACAATAAGGTATCAGAGCATATTACTTAGAGTCACATAACGAAGAGTTAATTTCAATCATTTATAGTGCTTTACACTTCATGGATCAAATGTTTCACATGTGAGTCTTGTCGCACTCCTTTTGTGACTAGTTCATAAGTTTCTTGGTGTTCAGTGTTGGTCCCTTTATTGCATCTCTAATTACGTTTTAATGTCAAGATTTCCAAAATCGTTTCAGTTTGTAAAATAATTGTTTTGTGTCCGTTTCTTAAGCGGCATTGTGGCAGACGGGTTTATTTCTTTCTGGTCGTGGTTGGAATACGATGTGACAACTGCAACAAATGATGCCATAACGAATACAGTGAACTCACTATATCCGCTTATGGGAATTACAAATATGGTGAGCGTAGGAAACTCGCAATTTATTGTCATTTCAGGAAATTTGCTAACGTCAGAAGTAAATGGTAGTTTCTCACTCTAAAGGATCGATAGACTAAGCTGCAGAGGTGGCGTTATTCAGTGCTTAAAGAGCACTGTAACCATACGAGATATCAAGACAGTAGCACATAAATCCCGAACATTTGAGTTGGTGCAGTGCCGGCTCGGATGTAAAGGGTAAGACTAGTTGTAGTTTACCGTAGCCCTTAATGTATATTAGATTATTTCCTCTCACTTAGGTTGACCAATATATTATATAAGATCTGGGAGTTGGACGTTATCCCATCTGACTGGTCACAATTACTTATTGTCCCAATACATAAGAGAGGGTCAAAATCATCCTGTGACAACTATAGAGGGATTAGTTTAACTAATATAGTATCTAAAATACTAGTCTCGATAATTATCGGATGCCTAGCTAAGACTCGTGAACTGCAAACACGAAAGAATCAAGCTGGCTTCAGACCTGGTCGTAGCTGCATCGACTACATATTCATCATTCGTCAGGTTCTAGAACACAGGCATACTTATCGGCGTCCGACAATGGTGGTCTTTCTTGACTTAAAAGCAGCATTTGACTCGGTAGACCGCGAGATTCTGTGGCAGTGTCTGTCATTGAAAGGCGTACCTCAGAAGTACATAAACCTTGTGAAGGCTCTTTACTCGAACACTACTAATCGAGTCAGAGCTTATGGCGAATTGTTATCTGCTTTTGAAACCTTAAGTGGTGTCCATTAAGACTGTCCACTTTCTCAATTTTTGTTCAACTTCACCATTGACATACTGATGGAAATAACGCTATCGTCGACTGAATTTTCAGACATCGATGTCCTACCAGGAGGTCCACTTATAGTCTTACACTACGCAGATGACATAGCCTTGTTTGCTGAGAACGCTGATAAAGTGTAGAGTCTTGCGACAGCGCTAAGCAACAATCCCAGAATGTTTGAGATGCGTTTCTCTCCTTCTAAATGCAAGTTGTTACACCAGGACTGGCCTGCGTCGGCACCTCAACTAGGGATAGGGAGTGAATTGGTCGAACGCGTTGACAACTACACTTATCTTGGAAGTCTGATCAACCCTAATGGGCTGGTGTCTGAAGAAATCTCAGCACGGATTCGAAAAGCTCGTTTGACTTTTGCCAACTTACGTCACCTATGGCGAAGACGAGATATCCGTCTATCAATAAAAGGACGAGTATACTGCGCGGCAGTCCGTTCTGTTTTAATTTACGGCAGCGAAACATGACCATTAGGAGTAGAAGACACTCGTAAGCTACTAGTATTTGACCACAGATGCTTTAGAAATATTGCTGGCGTCTGCTGGGATCACCGGGTAAGTAATAGTAAGGTTAGACGCACTGTATTAGGAAATGATTGTAAATCAGTTGATGAGGTTGTTTATCTTCATCGACTGAGATGGTTGGGCCACGTGTTACGTATGTCTGAACACCGATTACCACGACGTGCAATGCTAACCGGTGTTGGGGATGGTTCGGATAAAGGGGCGTCCAAACCAAAACGCGGTATCAGTGCTTGAAGTCACTAACTTGAGGTCTGAGCCATGTTGGTAGATGCAGACTACTTGGTCGGGGTCCGCATGACTGTCGTAACCAATGGTTGAAGACTCTTGGTGACATGGCTCACAATCGCGCCGGTGTATACACTCTCTGTCTTCCTTTAAAGTAAGAGATTAAAATCACTTCATATCTTTCTACGAACTAACTCTTTCTTCCTGTACTATGTCCTTATTGCAATCTTTCTTTTATATATTACCACCTCTGAATTAACTACTTTATGAATCCGGTGTCCATTTTATTGTGTTAATGAGGTATGGCAACCTGGAGCGATGCATTTATATGCCTGGTCCTACGTTGTAGCTGAGTGACTGACTGAATCAAACAAACTACAGTTCTGGTCAAACCAGTGCAGTAAATTCATAATACGTGACTTCAATGTACCTTTTATAAAGTCAGTCAGTCAGTAACAATGTAGAGCTTCTTACATACGTACATCATTTCGAGTTGCCATACCACATTAGCACAGAGATGCAGTTGTTCATTCAAATCCCGTAGTGGTAGAGGTAGTAAGAGTATAAGCAGTAACTTTTTCAAAGTGAGCTTAGAGTCAGGTTCATCAAAAAGCCGTCTAACTAAAATCTTCTAGAAATCAAAATCTCGCTCTCTTTATTATAGTATGTTATGGATCTCACCAGATGACATACATGGCGCTCATCTATCCTACACTTAGTCACACTTATAATGATAATTTTAATCAAGTACCCTTCACTCATAGGGAGAAGTAATGATTACTTACTTACCTACGCCTGTTACTCCTAATGAAGCATAGGCCGCCGACCAGCATTCTCCAACCAACTCCGTCATGGGACTACCTTTCTAGTTACATCCAAATCTTGTTCATTTTTCTCATGTCTGTCTCCATTTCCCGGCGTAATGTGTTCTTTGGTCTTCCTCTCCCCCTCTGGTTTTGGGGATTCCATGTGAGGGCTTGCCTCGTGACGCAGTTGGGTGCTTTCCTCAATGTGTGTCCTATACACTTCCAGCGCTTCTTTCTGATTTCTTCCTCCACTGGGATCTGGTTTGTTCTCTCCCACAGTACGTTGTTGCTAATAGTGTCCGGCCAACGGATCTGAAGTATTTTGCGTAGACGACTGTTGATAAACACCTGTATCTTCTGGATGATGGCTTTCGTAGTTCTCCAGGTTTGTGGTCCATACAGTAGAACTGTCTTGACATTTGTATTGAAAATCCTGACCTTGCGGTCGGTTGACAGTTGCTTTGAGTTCCAGATGTTCCTCAGTTGTAAATATGCTGCTCTTGCATTGCCGATCAGCGCGTTCACATCTCCATCAGATCCACCCTGTTCATCAATGATGCTGCCCAAATATGTAAAGGTTTTTACATCTTCCAAATCTTCTCTATCAATTGTGATTGGATCGGAGAACCTTGCTCTTCCCTTTGTGTATATTGAGACCTACTGCTACTGAGGCTGCTGCTACCCTGTTCGTCTTCTCCTGCATTTGTTGTTGCGTTTGGGATAAAAGAGCCAGATTGTTTGCGAAGTCTAGGTCGCCCATCTGCATCCTAGCTGTCCACTGTATCCCATGCTTACCCCCAGTTGTTGACTTCTTCATGATCCAGTCAATCACCAGGAGAAAGAAAAAGGGTGACAGTAAGCAACTTTGCCTGACACTGGTTTTTACCTTGAACGAGTTTAACAACTGTCCTCCATCCACGATTTCGTATTTTAATCCATCATAGGAATTCCGTATGATGTTGACTATCTTCTCAGGCATGCCGTAGTGTCATAGAAGACTCCATAGTGTTGTCCTGTCCATGCTATCAAATGCCTTTTCGTAGTCAATGAAGTTGATGTAGAGTGATGAATTTCATTCATTTGATTGCTCCACAATGATCCGTAGTGTTGCGATTTGGTCTGTACACGATCTATCCTTACGGAATCCTGCCTGTTGGTCACGAAGTTGGGCGTCTACGCAGTCCTTCATTCTGTTCAACAGCACCGATTTGAAGACTTTTCCTGGTATTAAGAGATGCCCCTGTAGTTCATACACTTTCTGAGGTCGCCTTTCTTTGATCAGTTGTCCTTCTCTCCAGTCTGTTAGCGCTTGTTCTTCATCCCAAATCTTGCTGTAGAGAATATGGAATATCCTTGCAGTTACTGCTACGTCTGCTTTCAGTGCCTCTTCTGGAATGTTGTCTGATCCTGCTGCTGCTGTACCGCTTTTGATTTGTCTGATGGCCATGCTGATTTCTTCAATTGTTGGTGGGCCGACGTTGATTGGGAGGTCCGTTGGTGCTGCTTCGATGTTGGGTGGGTTCAGTTGAGCTGGTCGATTCAAGAGTTCTTTGAAGTGCTCAACCCACCTGTTTCGCTGTTCTTCGATGTTGGTGATTACGTTCCCTTCCTTGCTTTTCACTGGTCGTTCTGGTTTACGATGATTTCCAGAGAGTTTCTTTGTTGTGTCATACAATTGTCTTATGTTTCCTTCTCTTGCAGCCTTTCCGCCGTCATTACTAAATCCTCCACGTATTTACGTTTGTCGGTTCTAATGCTATTCTTCGCTTGTTTGTTTACTACTGTGTATTCAGCTTGTGCCTTGGCTTTTTCTGCTCTTGTTCGACTGGTATTGATTGCTGCCTTCTTGTTCCTCCTTTCTTGAATCTTATCCAGTGTATCAACAGTGATCCATTCCTTGTGATGGTGCTTCTTGTGGCCCAGAACCTCATGACATGTTGAACTTATTATCTCTTTTATCCCTTTCCAGTTGCTCTCCATAGTAGTTCCTTCTCCAGTGAGTAGATCATAAAGGGCCTGGAACTTGTTGCTGAGGGCTATCTTGAATTTGTTGAGTTTGTCAGTATCCCGAAGAAAAGCTGTATTAAACTTTTATGATATTATCCACCCCGTTGTTCAGTGCTTCTTGAGTTTCAATTTCATCTTGGCGACCAGCAAGTGATGGTTTGAGGCTACATCAGCTCTTTTGATTCTTACGTCATCTATAGTCCTCCTGAACGTTTTGTTGATGCAGATATGGTGATTTGGTTTTGCGTAGTGTAATCCGGTGATGTCCATGTGGTTTTGTATATGCATTTGTATGGGAATATAGTTCCGCCTATGACCAGTTTATTGAAGGCACATAGCTTTGCAAATCTCTCACCATTTTTGTTCTTTTCTCCCAGTCCATGTCGTCCCATGATGTCTTCATATCCTGTGTTGTCCATTCCGACCTTGGCATTGAAATCTACCATCAGAATGGTCAACTCCTTTGCTGGGCACTTCTTGACGATTGACTGCAGCCTATCGTAGAATTGATCTTTAGCGTCTTCATTGTAGTCGTTGGTAGGCGCATAGCATTGGATGACGTTCATTATCATGCCCTCTTTCTCTGTTTTGAAGGAGGCTTTGATGATCCCTGGTCCATGAGATTCCTATCCTTTAAGTGCTTTTCATGCTTGTTTGGACAGAATCAATGCAACTCCTTGTGTATGTGGGGCATTTTCTTCATCATGGCCAGATTATAACAGAAGCTCTTCTGAAGCTAGTCGTTGTTGTCCAACTTGCGTCCAATGTGTTTCACTGATCCCATGCATCTCTAGGTTGTATCTCCTCGTTTCTGCAGCAATTTGGAAGACTCTCCCGGTCTCTCACATTGTACGAACATTCCATGTACCCAAATAAACGATTGCTCTGGTTGTCAGAAGAGGCATCGGCCTCGTAACTTCCGAAGGAATTCGGCTTTCATCGTGAGGCGTCATAGTTCTTCTAAATGAAGACCTTCTGACTCCCAGGGCAGAGGCTAAAAGGTTTGAATAATTTTTTCTGGTTAGTGTTTTTTAGCGAGTTAGTTTTCTACGGGATGGGATCGCTAACCCCATGCCTAACCCTCCTCCTTTACCCGGACTTGGGACCGGCAGTAGCCCTAGAGGGGTTCCGGGCGGAGTCAGGAGTAATCTTAGGGTCGTCATATTCAAGTTTATTGTTGCAGTCTAACGCCGCGATCCATCTTAATATATGGAAGGCAAACGTAAAAGTGCTCAGCTCTTTGAGACTTAGAAAATATGCCAGAAGTGCCAGTAGAAGTCATGGAGCCACTTCTGCCGGTTATACAGCTAAGCAGTTAAACCATTTATGCCCTGGAAAGTCCCGATGAAAAAAGAGAGTTCCATCCCCGGATAAACTGGAACATTCAACTTCTATTGAGAAAAGAGAAAGTAAACGTTGCAACGTCATTATAAGTCTTGGAAAAGTAAATGCAACAGAACACTGCAAGTCGATTCGGAAAAAGTGCAAAAACAATATACGAAAATCAGTTTTCACAAACTGCAGCTAAGAAGTTAAAGCGACTGTCTTTATATATCAATCATAGAACAAGGATGCACGCATGGATTCCCAGTTTAATTACGAGAGTTCATCCTAGTTGACAGAGCGAATCCAGGATGGAGTAGAAGCCATGAGGGAAGACTTCGTGACTATTTCCACTAATGAGCTTCCTGTCAATATAGGACTAGCCCTCGAAACTGTCGCCGAATCGGTCACTCATTGTGGACTTACGCCAGAATGATTCACCAAAAGGACTAGGCTCTTTAGACAAAATAATCAAGACAGAATATGTTACACTCCTGGCTCCGTTCCAGGTCTCTTACTTTTCATACCCTATGTAAATAAATTCCCACGTATTGTAAGGTCTCTGATGCCACTTTACTCTGATGTCAACATGTGGCGAAAAGTAACTGAGAGTACCGTTGCTTGTGGATTTCAGGCCGATCTAGACATTTGGCAAGCTGGTTTAAATTGTGGTTAATGCCCTATCAATACAGTCATATTTCTACATTCACATTGGACACATACGTAAATAGCGAAACATGGGGAAAACATCAGTGTCCTTAGTCCTGTATCATAGCCATTTGGGAGTTATAGTGGGTCGCAATCTTCGAACCGCACCATACTGCTGCGCAGTTGTATCTGAAGGGTTGAGAACCATGTGAGCATCAAGACGAACATTTATCAAGTTGGACACCAATATGTTTGCCATGGTATATACAGCCGTAGTGAGATCCAGACTTGGGGATTTTTCATGCTCCAAGGCCCTGTTTAATTGACTCGAACATCTTGAAAAAAGTATTGAGGATAACTACCCGTGCAATTCCGGAATTCTAAGGCTTACCATACACAGTAGGGGTTGAGAATTTAGATCTAATCTTGTTGTATGGGATACTAAGTGGGGATCTTTCTATCTTTGTCCTTAGGGTATAATATACTTGTTTCAAGCATTTACTGGTTTCTAAAGAATTTTATACCTTACTCAGCACTTACTTTTGTGTACTTCCTTACAGGAATATGGCTGGAAGTAGGTGGCCGGCTGCAGTGGCTCCTACTAACAGAGTCGGCAATGCTTCTCGAGCAAAACAAGTTATTTTCGAACCTACATTTGCCAAAGTATGTCTTTATCATACGAGGTATAGATTTTATTAAGATGGAAAAAGAGAATTACTCTTTAACTCAGCGACTAAAGGAAGCTTTCTATAAGGTAAGTTTTAATTAGGATACAAATTCGTGCCTATGTTAGGTTGAGAAGCGGTATCCTGGTTTCAGTAAAGATTTCATGATTGGCTTGCTTCAGCGGATGGGAGTCGATAGTGAAATCGACGTGACTGAAACGTGTTTACGGATTGCTGCTCTTCAAGAGTGTGGTATTGCCTTTGATGTTTTTTTAGATTGAATGTAATTTCAGATAATCCAAGGACGTCAAGAAATCCTAGAGTTTTGGAGTTGGAACTTACGGCTAAGACCTTAAAAACTATTCTTAGTAGCATACCTGATGAAATTATCGACCGCAGAGCATTTATAGAAGTCATCAAGTAATTCATTTGTTCAACAAAAGTTATTTACTTAGAGGAATAGCAGATGCAATAAAGATGTTGTTAGCTGCTGTGGGTGCGTTTTATGATACGTTACCACCAGGAACACAAAAGAAATGTCTTGAAGATCAAAAACGAAAATTTATCACCTACTGTCGTAAATTCAGTGACACTTTAAAGCAGTACTTTAGGAACAACGAGTTAGTGTGGAATTGTTTAACTATAAGTTCGATTTTTACTGTTTTTTATCTTTTGGTAGCCATCAAAAGTAAACTTAATAAAGATGAAAAACGGCTTCCCTCAAAAGTGTTTAGTAATCCTACCGTAGGTATGATACTCTCATCTTAAGCTGTTTATCATCTCGCTTTCTAATTAGACACTCCACTTAGTTCGACTTCTAAATTTTATTTAAAGTAGTGTACTGGCGAGCTAAAGTTTTTTCTTGTTTCGATTCATTGTTGTCAATTATTCAGTATTTCGTATTTAATAACTCTAATCGCACTATACGCTGTTTATTCCACTGTCTTTTTTTCTCTCTCATCGTCCTCTTGTTTTAGATGTAATGCGTTGACTTTATCTAACCAGTAGTTGGAATCAGTGGTGTTGTAATTCAATATGTTAAGCACTCAACTTTTAACCTATACTTGACGTGTCTAAAATCCGCCTTAAATACTTCGGCTAAAACAGTTAGGTTACAGATCATACCGTAAATTCACAAAAACCCGACAGATGAATATGTTCTAAATTGTATTAGATTTATTGAGCGTAAGCCATCAATAGTTAAACATTGTCATCTCCTTCCATCTGTATACTGAACTTTATTTGTTTTATGAGGTTAAATTTATTTCAGTCCGATGAATTTCGACAAGTTCTATCGAGACCGACTATATCGTACAGGGGTTAAAACAGGTCTCGGTGTGTTGGTTATGTACCTATTAATTCTACTTGTTCACCGGGAACACTAATTGTGAGGTCGGCTTATGCCACATGGTTGCCCAATTTGAAGTAGATTGGACGGATCTCGGACCTGTGACTTAGTGTCTAAGATGCCTTAATCACTGAACTACGGCTCCATTAACCTGTTAAATGGTTTCAGAATTACATCAGGGACAAGATTTTTAGCAGTCGTTTGTTGTACGAAACTTTTAAATAACTAGTAAATTAGTTCAAAGGCTTCATTCTTGGTTCATTTCTGTTTTTGTTCACCAGTGACGTACTTAGTATTCTGTTCATGATTGTTTGAGATTTCGGAGTGCGGTGTTCTCCAATCTTCATCAAGTACGTTTCCTTATTTGTTTATGCAGTATCGGGTCGCGTTCAAGTTGTCTCGCAATTGTCGTGAAGGATTACTATATTACAGTTTACTATCATAACGCGACTACAATAATAAATCATAATACTATGCTGTTATTTGTTTGATCGACTTGATGACTTCGTTTCATCTTTATTTAACTGCTTCTTTCTTATCTACTACTTGGCTATGAGCTTGACACCATAGACCTGGTATTCTAGAAAGTATCCACAAATGATCCGGGGATAGAGTATGGAAAATGCTTCTCTCTTCCGTATTTTTTTGGAAGTCTTACTTGAATAAGATGGGTATGCGGTTTTTCAAGCTTTATGGTTTTCAGCTCTATACGGGATACTCATATATATATATATATATATATATATATATATATATATATATATATATATATATATATATATATATTGTTGCTGTTGACTTGTACGTTTGGTAATAAATTAGATGAATGATTTATTTAATTCACCTAAAATTGGGTATAAAGATACCGGAATTTTATGAACCACTCAAAAGGGAGTGAGGTGGAACAAAAAATAAGTGAACTAGAATAGTATATAGAAGAAGACATAATTCGGTAAAAATACGACCAACAAAGACTCGCAGTTTAGAAAATTCATCACATTTTTTTGGATTATGCAAAAACACTGCAGCAGGATTGCCATTGGCTTCTATTTTGGGCCATGTCGAATAGTGTTTCAAGAATTGTGTCGAACCATATTTAGAACTTCGACTAGAGATTCGTGATGTCCCATACATTTACTTTCCACACATCGCCATGTCATAAGCTGACCACCTCTCCTCTTCATTTCCGATCAATCCAGGGATTATGAATAATGCACGAAGTAGAAGCTCCTGTGATGACATTCTATACACATTCTCAAGCCACCGACGTCAAAGTTTCAAGATGGTGGCACTGGTAAAATTGCCGACATCGTGCCGAAACACAAATCACAGGCTTAAGATCCATGTCTGCGTACCTCGGAACTTTCCAGAATATCAATTACAAAGTTTATGAGGAATAGTGGGATTTACCAGTCCTACTTAATCCCACTGCTGAAATGAAACGATTAAGAGTGTGGTTATATGCTATCGTTTTCCACGAAGTGTTTGTTTACAGGGGTTTTATGATATTCTCAGGCACACCCTTCAACAAATAATCATAAAGCATAGTTCTGTTTTGTAAAGGTGCTCCTGATATCAAGAAGCTAACTGTTAATCTGCAATAAAAGTGGTTGTGCTCTGACATTCGGTGATGTGTGTAGAAATGACCAATATACCTATAACCAGATCAAAAACTGGCGTACTCCTTACAGATCAGTCTATATATATAGTCAAATGATTGCGTATATGCTGGAATATTTATATCATATTTAATAACTTAATGCTCATATGCTCATATTGCTTATCGTTTATGGCTAGCACGACAACCTTAGTAACCGTTTTACATCGGAGTTATTTCTAATTAACTGTGATTACATACATGATATCACTTCTCGAATATTCTCGGAGTTGACGTGTTCCGGTGTCTAGTTTCATAGTTATTTTGTGTAGTTCGTAAAGGTTGATTTACAAATATTGATCATTAGGACATTATAATGAGATAAGGAAATTTTCTGTACGTTTGTAATTTCTATGAATTTTATTTAATATTGATTTAATCTCCACTGTCCAGAAAATCAACCATTCTTGTGTTATTTAAACTGAATTAATTCTCAATTGTTTGACCTTTCCTTTTTTAGTCAAACTGTGGTTTTCAGCAGCGCAAACCTTCTGGTTAGCCAAACCAACCTAATTTTGTTTGTGGTTCATGATGTAGATTGAAGAAAAGGGAAAAATGCCACCATTGTTAATATTTTGTGCTTACTTCGGATTATATTTCCTTATGAATGTGATTTATGAATAGTTTTTACTTTTGCGTAAACATCTATAGTAAACTGGTTACTTTTTTTAAACATTAAAATTGCTATTTCGCGTTACTTTATTCCAAATATTTGACTAAGTGACAAATTATTTTGCATCATTACTTATACTTTCTTTATTTCCAGCTCCTTGTGAATTGAGAATAGAAGCTTTTTACGAAATAGGATATAAAATTATTTGTGCTTCAAGTTTGACTTTTACGCCGCATAGTGTGACCTTTTTGACAAACCATATAAACTTGTACAATTTATTTAGCTACTTGTGATAGATGATCTTAAAATAATCATAGAACTAAAGTAGACTATATCTGACTGATCCCACTAGTCAACTTCCACGATACATTCATCTATGTTTTCTAAATACTTAGTTACTTATTATACACGGCTGATTTTAAGCCTAAAAGAATAACAGACAAGGTAATTCAGTAAGTTTATCGTTTTGGTCTGATATCTAATGCACGATAATGTTCGTGGATTCACTACATTCAGACGACAATTGAAGCGTGGATTTTTTGTTTACATTTATGCTATTTTGCGAGTAAACAATTTAGTCTAATGGAAGTATTTGTAGATCAGAATGAGAATTCTGATTGCTTTGTTACCTGAGCTGGATGGTTTAATCATAAAGCTTTTATTGTCTTTCTCGACAGAATTGTTAATATAAACTTCAGTGAGAAATAATATTAGAATTTCTCTACAGTTTTTCCCCTACTTGTCCTGTTGACCTAGAATTTGGTTGGCTGTTGCCTGTGCTGCTGCTGTTTACTTTGATTGTTTGGCCCTGAAAACTTGGCGTTGTTTATAGTTTTTCTTGTTCGTTGCCAATGACTGATTGACAAATTTGTCTTCTAGAGTGCGATGTTGGCGATTGTTAAACATGCTCGAAAGGTAGACTGCTTGATATTTACTAGGCCAATTCAATCATTTTATACTGGATCTAAATTCATGACGAACACTAGTAATAAGGAAATATTTTAAATGGATTGTGCAGGATCCGTCATATCTACAGTGGAAACAACTCACCGTACAACCCACATAGTTTTATGTTCATTTCACGTGTATAGAGCCATGTGTAGAAAAACCGATCTACGTATCCTACGCACACTAATTATGCATTGAATGTGATAAAAGCTTGCCACTATTCACGAACAAGTTGACATAAGTACTGCTTTGATATAGTATTACGGGTCTTTCTACACATGACTCTACACACGTGAAATGAACATAAAACTATGTGGGCTGTACGGTGAGTTGTTTACACTGTAGATATGACGGATCTTGCACAATCCATTAAAAATATTTCCGTATTACTAGTGTTCGTTATGATTAGTTGTTGTCTGTTTTATCATCCCTATCCTTATTCACTTCACTTCGGCTCTTTCGCGTATTGTTTTATACTACTTAATAATATCCAGTAAGTTGTTGTATTCTTAGCAATTTCCGCACTTACGTTGTGACACAAGTTTGTCGTGTAATATCCCGAAATATTTACAGATACTTATAACATTTATTGTATTTATCATTACAATTACTTTGTCTCAATTACTTTAGCAGTTATCCACAGTTTTTTTACATTTGTTTAAACTCAACGGTTTCCATATAGTTTTCTCTTGGTTCTGATTTTGCTTGTTGGTAAACTGATACCAAGTTTAGACACAGCTATCAGCTGTCTTTTGCACCATCGTATGTTGTAATTATTTTTTATGTTACTGTTACGGGAAGCCCTTTTTATTTCATATAAAATGACGCGTTAAACACTGCAGATACCTCACAAGTTGAGGTTTGTAACTCAATTTTGTATATTAAATAAAGAACCGCTATTTTAGACAACCCGTTTTGTGAACTTCGATTTTGCACGTATCTCAATTGGGTGACTTGGACGCTTCGATAAACTTAACATGATTTATGATCCACACCATATCTTCCTTCTTTCAGGTAAAAAATTTTCGGGGTTCAGCACCCACAGTTATCTGTAGAAACCAACTGAAAGAGTTCATAACTAAAGACGTTCGATAGGCAGAACACTCCCACTTACTTTTCGATGAAGTTTTGTTCTCTGAGCTGGATGGTTTAGTCGTAGAGCTTTCATTGTTCTTCTGAACGAGATCATCGGCACAAACTCCAAGTAGAAGTCTACCTGAGCTACGAATCTTTACCATCTCACTTCCACTTACATTCTTCTGTTAGTGTTGCATGTCGAACCGAGGCAAAATGCTTCAGGAAAACATGTATACATTTCAATTTGCTCATCAGTACTGAATGCTATTCTCCTCACTTGGTTAACATCTCCACCATAGCACACAAGTAAGGTTGAAAGCACATCACTGAAACTCCCACAGCCTGAAAACCATAGATCTATAGGAAAAACTTACGTTTGACAACTTTATATTTCAAATTATTGACATAATGAATTGTAATGGTCTCTCCAGAAAACTCTCCTACATATTTAACAATCTGCTCAGGGTGACTCCCAGTTTTTAGCATCGGTATAACAACTAGCGACTGGTCAACATTTAATTTCCCGTACCACGCATCATACGTCAGATACTTCTCATCACAAGAATGATTGTGGACAATCTTAGATGAAACTATTATATAACGATTGAGATCATACCTCGAATGAAACATGGCTTTGCAACCAGTAAACTTTGATCTATACATAAGTTAGTATGATAACAGTTATTCACTCTGACCATGACCCTCCGGCTTCCTTTTATGACCAGAACAACAGATATACACTACGTTCTGGTAGCAGATTTCCGGCTTTCCAATGTTCAGTTTGCTTTCATGCACGACGTGATGCGTTCAGGTCATCCAATAATGTTATATGGTATACTTTCAATAACAAACCTTCCGTGATAGATCGATAGCATCTCTGACTTGGTCCCAGGTTGTCAAGTGCCTGGGTCTCTTAACTCTTTCGAAAACACTGGTATCCACACAGATTGGATATTCAGTGTTAGTGTGACTCGTTGATGGGGTAGGGTTGTCCATAATACTGAAGAAAATAACAAACCGGAGATCGTTTTCTTTCATTGCTCTTGATAACATTATAAATGACAGGAACAAATATGCAGATAGAAAATCCCACGTGGCAGCAGCATTTATTTTAGCTAAAAGACTAACTCCTTTCGATATCTACAAAATAATACTCAAAACAAAACGAATTAACATTTTATCATATGAGCACATAAACACGCCTGGAAGAATATACTGATCTGAGTAGTAGTAGTACTAAGATGAGAAGACGAAACTGATTCAAAAATGTTAACGCCAAAATTCAGAGGACCATATGAATTACAGAATTTCAGCACACTGAAAGACTAAATTTTGCAGCGACACAAAAAGGCCAGTGGGTAAACAGACCTAGACAAGACGACGTACATTGCTTGTGAAGATGGCTGATGTGATGATTCCCGCTCCATTCTGATTGGCCACTAAGTGGGCTGCCGAAATTGCGAATTGGATTTGAGTTCATTTCCATTCAAAAAATAGTGAACACGAAATTGAATGAAGATGATTTTAATTATAAATAATTGTATGCTGTGTATTGTATTGTCTGGTAATTAGTCGATGAAGATAAGATCTCATTATTTTATTCTTATTACTATGTTATGTCCTAGCGGAGGTTAAATTATAGGTAACTTTTGAGAGCTATTAATGGACTAATATTATACATGTATTTTCATTGTATAACTATTGAGTAGCTAGATTATGTTATATTCCTCTTACCATAAGCTTTATTTTGATTTATGGACTATTATTTCACGATTTGCTATCCTTAAGTTTTACCTAGTTTATTAATTACAGTTTCTCACTATCACAATCACTCTTTGGCTTGATCTTGTACACTCGTTATTTTTTATTTATGGTATGATGTGGTCTGGTGGGCTTGTATATAAACCGGGTATGTTTGAAATATATGGTCCATATGATGGGAGTTGTTGACATTCTGGACTTAACAGGCAGGGCTAGGCAGTAAAAGGACCAATAAGGACACTAAGCTTCTCATACCAGTCAATACGTCATCGGTTCGACACAGTGCTAAAATTGTACAAGTATTATGGATTGGCGATTTTACCACGTCATAAATTAATCAGACACAAGTCACGACACATCATATCGTAAAAACATGGTATATTTTTATCGTTTTTTGAACTCCACTGGCTTTGAGGATCAGTTTTTAAAAAAAATCTTCGATTGCTGGCAAAATAGGTCAGACTGATACTGATTGATGAGTGATTGTGTTATAGTTATAGTCTATACGGAGGATTAAAAGCGTCCATATATTTCACACATTACAGTTCTCAAAATATGGTAATAAAATTTATTGATCATTAAGAATTTAAGTGTCTTATCTATTTCTTGATTTTAGAACAAGTCATTGAAAATGTTACAAGTTCTTTACTATTCATGAATGTATTTATAAAGTAAATAATACAAATAATGAAATAGTTGAGAAGATTTGTAACTCAGGTGGATGATTTTGACTTCTACCTGAAGTTCGTGCTGATGATATCGTTCAGAAGAACGATGAGAGCTCCACGACCAAATCATACATCTCAGAGAACAAAACTTCATCGAAAACAAATAATGAAGTCGTATGTTATGCTGATAAAACAATCACCAAGCAGACATGACTAAATCTAAACATAATAGGAATAAGGAATTAGTTATCATGTGAAATCGCTAGTATGACAAAAATAAATATTTGTTATCTGTTGCATGAACAAATAGTATTGTTAGAGAAGCATGATTTTTAAAATCACAGGCAATATAAAGTTCTATCTGAAGTGTTTAGTTATAGTCTGGATTACCTGGTATACGTTTGACGAGGTTGTTTAAGACATTTCAAAGAAAAGATCATTTCGAGTTAATCATTGATAGATTGAAATGAATGTTTCTGTTGATCTGTTGGTCCTACTTACTGCATGAATTCCACAAATTTAATCACCGAAATTTCAAGTTCATGTATGTGCAGATATGGTTCGAACTCACACCCATAACTGTCTTTTCGACATAATTTGTTACTATAATATCAATAAATTTAAAATATAGTATAGAGCATTTTTTAATGAAATTATTTTGAACTGGCTTCATTCAAATCAAACATTCATAATTTTACTCAACAGTAGTATTTCACTTTTAGGGAAGCTGTACTAGTGAATTTCATGTCACTTGTGGAACGTTGATTTTCTCACTATTGCTCTACTAAACAGAGTGTGTTCTGCGTTGCTTACTGACTTTCATTAGTTGTCCAAATAATAATAACTTGGT